TCTGAACTGACCAACGCCACTGTGTCCCCTTCTGTGCTGCATACTTTCCTTCTGTCTACCTAGGATTCCCAGGGACAGGATGGTAAGGTGCTGGCTCCTGCCCCACCTCCGTCTCCAGGCTCCATCAAGAAACTTTCCTATAATCCACTCCTCCCTCTCACAGCATTCCCCAGACATGATTCTGCATTTTCTGATCACAGCTCTCCTAGTTTGTTGGGAAACCGAAGCTATTCCCACCTGAAGGTTGCTAACAAATATTAAGCGTACTCCTGTCCTTAGGCTGGTATCTTTATGACATTATGAACTAACCAGCTGGGACTGATGTTAGCTCCTTGCTGGCCAGAAGCTATAACATCTCTACCAACAAGAAACTAATACAGGTTGGATTAAAGGCAGCCTGAGAAAGATTACTTAAAGATAAGAAAATAAATGAAACCCCACCAAGATTCCAAGCACATAGGAAACAGTCAAATATGTGCTGAGCAGATGAATAAACATAATTGTGCAAGGCTTTAAAGAGAATGACAGGTCTCACTGAAAAAAGCATCCTAAGCTTTTGTAGTTCACCAACCTCTGTGTTTTTGTTTTGTTTTGGGTTTTTTTTTTTTTTTTGGTGGGGGGGGGATTTTCCAGTACCGGGAATCGAACTCACAACCTTGCGCTTGCCAGGCAGGTGCTGTGCCACTGAGCTAAATCCCCAGCCCCTTTGTTTTATATTTTGGAGTGGGGAGATCACCCTGCGATGAATATAATTTTAATTCACCTGTTAAGGATGTTTTAATACTAACATCTCTCTCACCAACCTTTCATGGTGTCTTAGACAAATGCCAATGAAGTGGGTGGGATAGGGAACAGAGTGAAGGAGAGAATGACCATAGAAAGAATCTTTGGCAGTTTGGACAGAGGTCTTTATTGCACACTACATAGGCCCCCTCTCACTAGTTTAAGCAGGAACAATATATTGCAGAAACTTGGTAGTTCACAAATCACCGGAAGGAATGAAGGAACATACTCTAAGCCGTGCTTCTAGCTCCTCAAGATAAGCATCAGCCTCATGCCCTATTCAACCCTCTACATTATTCATTTCCAAATCAAAGTCCTGCCTGAGTCCCACTGGCTAGCAGAACATAAATACATCTACACCTCCATCTGCTGAAGGGCTGGGAAATGTGCCTTGTGTTTTCAGTCACAACAGTAGACAAGACACATGGGGCTGGAGGATGCTTGTGCCGGGTCCTCACTGTCTTAGTCTGTTCAAGCTGCTATGACAAGAAATACCATGGACTGTAGAGCACAGAAATGTGTTCCTCACAGTTTCGGAAGCTGGGAAACCCAAGATTAAAATGTCAATATAAAGGGTGTCTGCTGATGGTTGTTTCGTGGCTCATAGACTGTGACCTCACTTGGTAGAAAGAGTGAGGAAGCTCTCTGGGCCCCTTTCATGCAGATATTGGTCCCTCTAAGAGGGCTTTGCCCCCTGGTCTGATCATCCCCCAAAGGCAGTCACCTCCAAACACCATCACCTTGTGGATGAGGATTCTGATGCAGAATGTGGAGGAGATGCAAGCATGCAGACCCCAGCACTTGAGAATGTGTCCAGGTCTAATCCTGGGTTACAGAGCCACACTAGGGATGGTGGCCTGAGTGCCGTCTTCAGGAACGTGTGTATTCATACTTCATTCAAACCTTCTGAAAATCTGTGGTGTTGCCTAGGCAACTGTTGATGGCGTTGCTCCACTTGTGAAGCCACACCCTGTCAGCGGTGGACATCTGTCATACTTGTTGTTCCCCACCAGCTTTTGAGTAGCTTTCATGTTTGGGGGAATTTGCATATAATGAGTCCCCCCTCCCAAATATTGAAGTCAGAATTCCAGTTTTCAGCTGTTTTCCCAGCTGGGACTCAGGCAAGTGATCTGAGCTCCAACAACCTCATGTCCCACTTGGGATTTGATTCAGAGCAGCGCGAACAATCAGGCAATGCACAGAGCTTCCACCCTGGCCGGGATGGACAGCAGCAGAGGACTCTTCATTCAAAGGCAGTGCTTCCTGACTCTGAAGCAGCCTGGTGTGGTGGCAGGCACGGCCGCGGTGAGCTCAGATTCCTGACACCTACTGCTCAGTAGCAACAGCCATAGCAGTATGAGTTCCCTCTTTGGGCAGTTGCTATAAAACACTTGGAGGCATCGTCCCTGGAAACTACCTCAAATCTATTTCCCAGTCCTTCAGATGATCACAGTATCTTTTAACAAATCCTATCAGCCTCAACCAGCCAGAATGGATTATCATCAACACCCAACAGCCCGCCTGACGTGGTGGGAAAGCCAGGACAGCTGCCTCCGAAGCCTCTGCCTCCACACCGGGCTGCAGTGTGAGCCACACCTACAGACTGCTGACCTGGACCTTGACCCCCGTGTCTTTTCTGAGCCAGATGAGAAGCATGAAAGGAGCACACCCTTCCCTCTCACTCCCAACATCCCAAGAGCTCCTCCAGAACATGACTGCTCTTCTTCATTGGATTTTTATCATCAACAATTCACACAGGGCTTAGCATTGAATAGGAATTTGGCAGATGTTGGATGGATGGATGGATGGATGGATGGATGGATGGATGGATGGGTGGATGGATGAATGGATGGATGGGTGGATGGACAGGTGGGTGGATGGATGGGTGAGTGGATGATGGATGGATGTATGGACGGATGACCAGAGAGATGGATGGATAGATGGATGGTTGGACGATGGATGGATGGATGATAGGTGGATGGATGGATGATGGATGGATGGATGGATGGATGATGGATGGATGGATGAATGGATGATCGACTACACTGTCAAGTTAAACCCATAATCCAGAACTTTGCTGTCCATTAATAGTACTCACTAAGTGCACATAGTTACTGAGTCCTCAAAATGTGGCTAGGACAACTGAGATATTCATGTATTTCAATAAATTAAATGTATTTGAGTGAACAAATTTTAACTTTAAATCTTAACTGATTCCTAATTCCATTTTTAAAAACTTTTAGGGTGGCCAGGAGTGATAACACATGCCTTTAAACCCAGCATTCAGGAGGCTCAGGCCACAAGTTCAAGGCCAGCCTAGACTACATAGCAAGACCCTGTCTCAAAAAGCCAAAAAAATTTTATGGAAGTTTAATGTAGATCAAATATTTCCAATGAAAAGTCTGCATATGTGTTAGCTTCTCCTGACTATGACAAAATACTTGTGATAAACAACTTGTAAAGGAGGAAGGGTTAATTTTGGTTCTTGGTCTCAGAGGTTTCAGCCTAAGGTTGATTAGCCCTGGTGCTGCAGGGCTACTGTGACACCGTACATCTCAATAGGAAGAGGTCTGCTTACCTCAGGGTGCTAGGAAGCAGAAAGAGAGAAGATTCCAGGACAAGGTCTCAACATCTCCATGGGCACCTGATTTCTTCCCACTGCCCCCAGCCACAACACACACTGGGAACCAAGTCCTGGCCTCAGGGGATAGTTCAGACCCAAACGCTAATAGCGTACAGATTGACATGTACTATAATTGTAAAGTAGAGGCCAGGTGCCAGGTACTTAATATGAAAAATAATTTAAACTACGGCACTAATTTTCTAACGATTGTATGTGGAAGTGATAATGTTCTGGGTACATTTGGCTACACAAAATATATTGTTCAAATGGTTGTCACCTGTTCCTCTTTACATTTTTTTAATGTGACTACTAGAAATTGTAAAATGACATCCGTGGTTTATTGTATTTCTGTGGGACAATGCACATCTGGACATTAGTACGAGCATCCCTGAGCATCCCCAGAGGGATGCTGAGGACATTCATGCCCTATCTCTACAGACCAGGACTCCCCCACCCACTCATCCTCCCCACCCCAGACTCTAAGCCCAGCAGGTGACAGCATAGACATAGCTCTATGGCATGCATAAGAGCGAAAATCACAGACTCGTTTTGGGGGATCAGGTAGAGAGAACCCATCAGGGAAAGGCTAGGGGTGAGGCCATAGCAGTGATCAATTGTTCTATCCAAAGACAATTCACAGAGGAAAATCCCCATGTAACTGTCTCGTGGTCACCAGTATGCCACTGGTGGACTCAGAGGCCCTTGTCAAACCTCCCCTGTGGTCACTTTTCTCAAGGGTGAAGAGAATAAAGCCCAGAAGGAAGCAGGCTCTTCCCACCAGCCAAGAGCCAGGGCTAAACACAAAGTCATTTGATGCCCTCTGCAACACACCCACTCGGCTTTAGAAGGCAATCCACACACCCACTGGGTTTGATTGAGAAAGGAAGGCCCTCCCCACAGGAGCGGCACAACCCGCACCTACCCCAGGATTTCCAACCCTTCCTTTGCCAACCCTGGGGTGGGGGGACAGAAGGCGTTGTACTCCATCTCAGGAACCCTGTGGCTTCATTCACAACACCAGGAGACTGGAAACCCTTAAAATGATTTGTGCCGAGGTAGGAAGGAACACAAAGGTGTCTTTGACCGCTGTGGAGAAACTGTGCCAGGCCTGTAGGGAGAAAGGTGCTGTTCATGGTCCAATCCTGGGTGAAGTGACACGGGTGAAGGTGAAGGCACCAAGCTAGGGTGACCAGCAGCCTTGGTGGGGAGGGAGCAACAAGAGGAAGGAGGGAGAAGACGAGTGAGGCCAAGAGGTATGGGACAAAAAGCCCAACTCTGTTTGTTTTGCTTTTGTTTTTCTTCCGGTACCAGGAATCGAACTCACGACCTTGCACTTGCCAGGCAGACGCTGTGCCGCTGAGCTAAATCCCCACCCCCTAAGAGCCCAACTCTGAAGGCTTGCTCCTAAGAGGCATGGAAAGAACCTATCCAATTTCCCACACTGGACAATTTTCATACTGGAAATACCACCTCTGATCCATCCCCACAGGTATAATTCCACCACATAAAACCAATCATATCCACATCCAGATCTACCAATCTGTGTACAACACAGTAACAAAGAAAGACAATTTTTATATTTTACTATACAATATTGTTCATCATAAAAAAGCATTCATATTTTATTAAATATAAAGGCAAACTCTTAGCGTTACCAGAACAAATTAAGGATAACTGTTTGCAAGCAGAAGCAGTGCTAGACCTGAGTGCAACTCTCTGTTCTCTTTGCAGTGCCCACCTTTTGTATACAGTGTCTTACACACAGTAGTATTTGTTTATTTATCAGTCCCTTTCCTTTATCTCCTGGCTCCAACTGGATCTTGATCCATGGGGAGACTATCCCCATTCAGTCACGGCGAGGATAGCTCTGTCTCTCACAAGAGCCTCAGATGCATCACATCAGTTTGAAGACACTTGCCTGGGGGGAACCACGGAGGATCTCAGGGAGAGAAGGCAATGCGCAAAGACAGGCACGGTAACGAGGTAGAGGCGAAAAGATGCTAAGGCACTGGGTAACAACATGGGGATTCTGGGATGGAGAAGTCACAGGCAAGAGAGGCAGAAAAATGAAGTCAGAGGCTCAAAAGTCATACAGCGGGAGAGGAAGGGATATAAAGGTTGATCCTGAGGTTTCTGCTCAGCATTAATGCTCTATGGCAGAGGTAATGGCAGAGGGGGAAGAGACCGAGGGATGGAGAGGAGACGGTGGGTAGCAGGGATCCCTGCCCATATACGTTCTGGCTGGCCCTCCCTCGGGCCCTCGGGCTGAGCTCCGCAACACCTCCCGCCCTCATGAGCACCTCTAGGCGCTCTCCCCAGCCCCACCTCAGGCTCTGTCCCCACATCCTACCTAAGGCCTTCTCTTTCTCCAGCCCACACTCAGCTCTCTCCCTTCCCAGCTCCTCCTGCAGAGCAAAGCTCAGGATGCTGCAGTCTTAAGAGTCTGTGCTGTGTGCTCGGTTGTGCACCTGGAGCGGCGGAAAGAGCGCTGAGGTTACTCCGGGCTCCAGGCCCACCTCAAGCACTCCAGCATACCCCTGGAGTGCTGGGACTTACTAAGTGCTCAGTGAATTCTTGTGGGCCAGACAGTTGCCCAGGAGTGCCCACGGGGCCACCTGGAAGCCCAGTGTCTATAAATAGCTGCCAGGAAGCTGGCCAAGCTGTGGTCATCTCCTGTGCGCCCGCGCCCCCTGCCGGCCAGGAGAGAACCTGCATGCAGGCCAAGGTGGTCTTGATGGAGGTGGCTCACAGGTGGCCCTGGGATGGTCAGTAGGTTCTGCTGCCACATTTTCCTCAGGTCACCCACCGTGGTGGGTGCTCAGAGCTTCTCATCCAGCTCTAGGCCCTGGTTCTCCCAGGCAAGACTGTGGGCCGTGGCCGGGCTGCTGTGGGGCGTCCTGTTCAGGTAGCTCTGGATAACCGAGGCGCAGTCCAACCGCTCGATGGAGGTCATGAGGCCGTGCAGCTCCTGCAAGCTGCCGTTCTGCTCCTCGAAGAGCTCCAGGATGGCCGCGGCAGGGCTGCGCTGGCACGACAGGAACCTGGGTGGAGAGGGAGGAGCGCTAATAGCAGTTTGGGGGTCTCCTCTTCTAGGCTTGGGGGTGACACCACCCTCCAGGGGACTTGGGGTGGCCAGGCGCCCTGACTTTGAAACCAGACACTGCCCTGACTTGGAGGCTCCCCCTCTGGGCCCGGTCTCTCTAGACCTCAGGTTCCTTCAGGAACTCTAGAGGTTCCTGAAGGAACCTGAGTTCTGAGAGGAGAGGACCCATAAGGTTGCTCCTGGCTCAAGGACTTTGTCCTTGCCCTCTGCCCCTCACCCACCCAAGCACCCTCCAGCCTCACCCAGGCCTGCACACTGGTCCTTCCCTGTCCCTTACTGCACCCACTGCACCCACAACCACCTCTGCGGCTCCCCCAGGACAGAAAGGCTTCAATCCCCTCCCTGACGCCTTTCTCATCCCTGGCCTTAGCAGACGACTGCACTGCACCCTCTGGTCATAGCTCAGCTCTCCTTGCTTCAGCTCTTTTGTGCTTCCCTCTCCAGCGTGTATGCAATGCTGGACACATACAAGAAGGCACAAGGAATACTCGCCTTGACTTTTAAGCTCTCGGTACCCTTCATGCATAGGCTATGAGCTCCTGGGAGCTGGAAGCAAACCTCATTCTTCTTGTACCCCGGTGCTCAGCAGGATAGAGCAGGTACCTAAGGAATGCTTAAATAAAGGGCGGGTTGCTAAATCCACCCTGGGTCCAAGGTCCGGCCCTAGCCCCTCTCATGGGTGAAGTCTTCCCTGACCACTGCACTCATAGCCTGAAGCAAGCTCACAATTATTCTCCTAGGCTTTCTTTGTGAGTTCCTTGGCAAGGACCACAGATAACAATGGTCAGCTAACATTTGTTGAGTTAATATGCGCCAGGCACCCAGATACAAGCTTTGCACACGGTTTCTATAATCTGCTGCTCTGTTCTGCAGGCCATACACAGCAAGCACTCACTGGTGGTTGTGCCGGGTGCGGAGCCACTGTTAAATATGCATTGTGCACCTACTGAGAGCGAGGCATTGCTCTAGGTCCTGAGAACACAGGGATGGCTAGAAAGAACTGCCCTGCGGTGAGGAACAGGCTGGGAAGAGCCATTCTCTGACTTGTAAGTCATCCCCTTGCCTATAGTCCGGTTCTACCCACCCCAGTCCCACCTCTATCCACAGCTCTCCCCTTCTTACCGGATTTTCATGCCACAGAGGCCCAGGTGGGAGGCCAGCCGGCGCCAGTCGTTGCCTGTGATGCTGGTTGGCTCGAGCAACATCCGCAGCTGCTCAAAGAGCTCTGGTGGCAGCCTGAGGTGAGCAAAGAGTGTTCTTAGAGGGATCTGAATCTGCTTCTCTCTCTCTCTCTCTCTCTCTCTCACACACACACACACACACACACACACACCACATGCTGTGCTTCCCCTGTGGGTGCTTGGGGGCCACAGCCCAACCTCCACCTTACCTGTTGCACGGGGGCGGCTGGGAGACAGGGGGTGGCGCTGCCCAGGACTCCTCCTCCGATGCCTGGAACCTGAGGATTTCCATGTACTTGGTCTCCAAGCCCTGAGTCAGCAAGGGGACAGGGAACGCATCAGGGCTCCCAAGACACTCCCTAAGTAAGAAGCCAGGGGCCGACCCCCATTCCTATGTCTCTCCTCTAGCCTGTCACCCCAAGCCGCCTTGCCAGGAGATACAACCTCACCCCTCTACCCTCTCCTTCCCTGACCCCAGGCCCCCGTGTTCTGTCCAGAATTTTCCCACTTTGAGAACTGGAACATGAGGCTGCGTCCTGAGCTTCCAGAAGTCCTGGAGGCAGTCACGGTTACTGGGAGGGCCCCCAGGGAGAGACACAGCACTCGGATCTTTGGGCGCCCTTCCCTCCATCCAGCTCTCTCGCCATGTAACAGTGTCAGGGTGTCCACCAGCTTCCATTCGAGATGCCATTGTGCTCCCCAAAGACTTTCCTCCCAGATTTCTTCCCATCTTCCCCTGAGGCATCTGATGGAGAGACTCAGCCTAGGAAGAACCCACGTCTCCTGGATCCCCCGTCCGCAGGCTGGGAGAGAGAGCGTTTAACTAAGTTGCAATCCCTCAGCCTCCTACTGGGGTCACCCACTGATAAACAAGAGTGAGCCATGGTGCGTAACTTGGAGGCCAGGTGGCCTGAGTCCTTCAAAGAGCGGGATGGCTGCTGTGAAGATGCTACCGTCCCCTAGTTGGTTATGTGACTGGGACCACTGTCACCGGTACCACACCACTCACCCATTTGCCCAGGACTCCCATGGGCCCTGCCCTTTCCTTGCCCTTCAGCAACAACTCACGTCCTGGAAGGTGTGCATGGTGACAATGATCTCATTGGCCAGCGCCGAGCAGTCCTCGTTCTCATTGGCTACAGAGAGAGTCAGTGAGAGAGGGAGACTTGGGGTAAGAGCAAGGAGTCACAGGGTGCTGTGCAAAGACTGGGGCCAGGACACTCTGCCTTCTCCCTGGGGTGGCGCACAGAGCACCAGGATAAGAGGGAGTGGAAGGATAAGGGCGGGCAGGAGGTGGCCACCAGCTTCCTGGGCTACCTGCTTTTCTCCGGAAGCAGAAGGAGCGGAAGGGGCACTTTCCATGCCAGATGTGGAGATGGGGAACCAGCTGGCAGCTGCTGTCATCCACGTTCTCCCAACCTGAGGCACGGACAGAGACAGGACAGAGCGCCTCAGAGGTGCTGGGGAGGCACGAGGACCAGCAAAGGCGGGAGGGTCTTGAGTGAATGGGAACCCCAGATCTGGGCAGCTGGCTTCTATGCCACGTGTCCCTCTCTGCACACAACACAGCCCCTCACCATCTCCTGCAGCCTCCCACCCGAACTCCACGCCCTGCCCCATGTTCCCTGTCCACAGCCACACCAGTGCATGTGCCCCGCGGGCGATGCCAGCAGCCCCGACCACCGGAAGGGGAGGCCAAGCAGGGAGACCAGGATCGCCTCCCCGTCCAGCCTCCCTCCCTGCTCCTGCTGCCTGCAGCCCCTCTCCTCTTGGCACCACCCTATCCTGACAGGTGGCAAAGGCTTGGGCGGGCAGCATGGGGAGCGGGAGGACCTGGGTTACTGGGGGCAGAAGCCAGGGGAGTCCTTGAGGCTGCTCCAGCCCAGAGTGAGAAGAGAAACTCAAGGCTCTTGATCTGCATGCAGTGCAGGGGAGGCCCCTCTCCCTGTGCCCAGGCCGGCGCCCCTCACCCTCAGAGATGTACTTGAGTTTCAGGCACTGGTCGCCTCTGGCCCCCGTGAAGTCGAAGAGCTGGCAGGGCCCTCGCAGGCGCCCCCCGTGGGGCTGTTCATTGGTCAAGGCCCACTGCAGGGCACAGGGCGTGTTGTTGAGGAAGTAGACGCGCAGCTGCAGGTGGGTCTGCCCTGGGGCCAGCGGGGAGCAGAACATGGCCAGCTGCAACCACTTGCGGGCAGCCTGGCCTGCCGGCGCCTCCAGCACACAGGTGTAGAGGCTGCGGGGGGAGACGGGGAAGAGACCCCAGGACTGCATCTTCAGGCTCCTGTCAGCTTGGAGTGCAGAGGCTCTGTCCCGGCCTCCTAGGACACAAGAGCACTCCAGGGGGGACTTGGGGTCCTAGCGAGGGTTGGGCAGCTAGGGAGTGGAGAAGGGACTGTGTCATGGTGGCCACCAGTAGGCAGGGAGGAGAGACTGCAAGAATTGTCCGTCAGAGCCAGGGATACAGCTCAGCGGCACAGCGCCTGCCTGGCAAGTGCAAGGTCCTGAGTTTGATTCCCGGTTCCAAAAAATAAGACTTGTCTGGCAGGAGAGACAACAGTGGGGAGGGGACAGACAGTTCCACGTGGGCAGAGGGGCAGCAGGGAGTACACAGCCCCAGGCAGGGTTAGAATGGAACAAGCTGCCATGGACATCAGGACTGAGGGGAAGGAGAGAGACCCAGGGCGGCCAGGGACTTGCAGGACAGCCTGGACGGATAAAGGGGCAGCTCTGTGCCGAGAGGAGGGCGAGGCAGCAAAGGGAACTGGGGGAGAGGCTGGCTGATGAGCAAACACGTACCTGAAGTGGGAAAGTTGGATGCGACATTCGTCCAGGGAGGTGTGTGCCCCAGGCTGGCCCAGGGGCCGCCAGGCCTTGGCATCCAACAGGGACGTGTTGCTGCTGTAAGTGCGTGCGTGGCCTGGCTGCTGGGCGCAGTGTTTGAACGTGAGGGTGCAGGGCTTCAGGAAGTTGGCTCCGTGGGGGCCACACGCCACCACCGGGCTCACCAGCCCCTGGGCGCAGGACAGCGATGGGGCATCGGACAGGTCCCACACCAGGACCAAGGACACACGCTCCTGGCGGCCCACAGCCACAGCACCTGGGGAGGCAGACAGCTGGGAGGGACCCAGTAGGCAGGCATCCCCGCCCCTGCCAAGGTCAGCCAGATGGAGCCCAGGGCAGAGGGCACCCAGCCAGGCACACAGAGGCTGTGTACATGAACAAGACCATGCGCACTGACTTAGGGCACAGTCCCATGCCAATCACACCCTTCCTTCCGGGGCCGACAGCGCGTGGTGTGAATTTGTAAACCATGCTCTCTTCTCCTGTTGGAGAACTGGCAAGGCACACTGAGTCCTTAGAAAAAAGCTACTTTAACTCCACCTGCTAGGAAGTTGTCCTAAAATATACATAAACGTCCATTTTTGGAGTTGTCTTGCTTACTTTTCTCTCATTGCTGAGACAAAATACCTGATGCCCAAAATTAAGGAAGAAAAGGTTTATTTAGCTCACGGTTTGTGGAGGTCTCAGTCCATACTTAGTTGGCTCCAAGGCAGAGTGGCACATGCAGAGGGCAACATTCATGGCGGTGGAAAACAGGAAAAGCAGCAAGAGCAAAAAGGGAGGAGTAGCAGGGAGCAAACCTCTTTCCCTCCCTAATATTGTATTCAGGCTACCCGTCCTAGGGTGGGTAAAGTACTCACACCCATAATCCTAGCATTTGGATTGTGAATCAGTCATAAACTCTAGAAGCCCACCCCTTGACTGCATGAGGCTTTAGTGGGACATCTATACACAAACCATAACATTCCATGCCTGGCCCCCCAAAGACTCATGTATACCCCTTTACGCAGAAGGCATTTTAGTCTATCTCTAAGAGTTGCTGAAGTCCTAACAGTTTCAGGATTGCTGGAAAGTCCAAGTCCCAGGTCTCCTCTAAAATCTAAGGCAAACTCTTAGCTGTGAGCCCCTATACAAATGAAAAGTCAAACATGTCCAACATTCAATGGCACAAGATAAACATTACCATTCTAATAGGTACAAACAAGGGGATATAACACATTGGGACCAAAGCCAGTCCAAAATCCAGCAGGGTAAACATTAAGTTCTGTAGTTCCACATGCAACATCCAAGGCAATCTGTGGCAAACTGTGTGCTCCATATGGCTCTACCCCTGTGGTACTTCTGGTGGTTGTAGCTCCCGTGGATTCTCTCTTGGGTCCACTCTGCTCAACCCTTGCAGTTTTCCTTAAAGGACCCACATTCCTGGTTTTTCCAAACTTCTGGGTTCTCCACTACACCTCTGGTTTTACCCTCACAGCTTCATACACTGCTCCCTCAGAGACACACTACCTCACAGCTTCACACACTGCCTCCCAGGCCTTCTGAAATCTAGGTGGAAGCCTTCTTAACCTCAGAACTCTTGCATTCTGCACGTGTGTGAAACCAGTGCCACGTGAATGATGCCAAGGTCTCCTGCCGACTGGAGCAGTAGCCAGGCTTTCCCTTCTCTTGGCTGTAGGGACCAAGTGCCTGGATTGCTGAGCACTCTGAATCCAGTTCTGAGGAACAAATTCTCTAGATTGCCACCATTTGGGGACTTGGTGCAGCTGCCACCATTGTGGAACCTGGTGTGGCCGCTGCCGCCATTCTGGAACGTAGTATAGCTGCCGCCATTCTGGATCATGGTGTTCTGCAGCTTTCTCCTCAGAACAAAGTCTTTCACTTTTGCGGTTTTGAGGCTACAAAGTGGGTACTGCTGCTTCTTGTGATGCCCTCAGGCTATCCTTTATATTCTCTTGTTCCTTCTCAGTGATCAAGATTTCCTCTGCTCCTCCTTTGCAGTCCACGGCTTTACTGGAGCTTCCTTTTTGGCCAAACTTACATTTTAAATCATTCTGCTGGGTTCTTTGCTCTTGATTCACAGCATAAATCTGGCTAAAAGCCCCCAACAGTAGCCATGCAACTGACTCAACATTAGACTGCCTTGAAATTTCTTCTGCCAGATTAATTAGTCCTCCACCATTAATCTCAGTCTTGGGCGAAATCTCTGGACAGGAGCAAAAGGTAGACAAACTTTTTGCCAAGCCATAACATACATCATCTGGAGTCCAACAGCCAATGCAGTCCTTCTTCCAAACAGAAACCTCCCAAGTCCAGTCTTCACTGGCAGGATTTATACCAAGCTTCTGGTCTTCTAATCCCTGACCATAATCTCCCATACAGAACAGGCTAGGGCATTCCAGTTCTACTCTTTCAGGAAAAATCTCAAAACCTTTCCAAACTCTTCCCACAAGCCATTTCCAAAGGCTCTTGAACCACATGGTCAGGTATAGTAACAGCAATGACCCCACTCTTGGTACTAAATTCTGTCTTGGTTACTTTTCTCTCATTGCTGAGACAAAATACCTGATGCCCAAAATTAAGGAAGGAAAGGTTTATTTAGCTCACAGTTTATGGAGGTCTCAGTCCATACTCCGCTGGCTCCAAGGTAGAGTGGCACATGGCAGAGGGTAACAGTTCATCATGATGGAAAACAGCAAAAGCAGCAAGAGCAAAAAGGCAAGAGTGGCAGTGAGCAAGCCTCTTTCCCTCCCTAATATCGTATGCAGGCTACCCACCTAGAGTGGGTGTAGTATTCACACCCATAGTCCCAGCATTTGGATCATGAATCAATCATAAACTCTAGAAGCTCACCCCATGAATGCATAAGGCTTTAGGGGGGACATCTAAACACAAACCATAAAGGAGTCAAGAAAGTTATACTAGAACTATCAATAATTTTCAAAATTATAAAGATGCCTATGAGCCAGATGTATTAGTACACACCTGCAATCCCAGCACTCTGGAAGGCTGAGGCAGGAAGTTCAAACCCAGCCTAGGCAACTTAGCAACTTTAGTCTGTCTCAAAATAAATATTTAAAAAGGGCTGGGATGTGGCTCAGTGTGAAGGCCCTAGGTGCAGTCCCAGGGTGCCTCCCCTGAGATACAGTCCCCCCAGGACACAGTCTGAACACTGTGGGCCATTACCTGGTGGAATAAGCAGGGAGATGCCTGTGTCCTGCAGCAGCAGGTAACCCCCACGGTGATCCACCTCACGGGCCGAGAATACCAGCAGCTTGTGCATCAGCTGGCGGATGACAGTCTGGCCCTGAGTGGGCGTGTGCAGCTCCTGGTAGAAGGCAGCCATCTCTGGCAGTGTGGCAGGTGCACACTGCTCCGGCACATGGAGTTCTAGTGGTGGAGTGGACGGAGGCACTGGCTCCTCGTCGCTGTCTGGTTTCTGGCAGGGCCCCAGCAGCCACCGGGGACAGTGCCACCGGAGGCACTGAACCAGAAGCAGGGTACTGGCCACAGGGATCCCCACCAGCAGGAGGAACTGGGGGGGCTGGAGGGCACTCTCCGGGGGACACATCCTCCTGGTCACTCAAGACTGCTGGATGTCCTGTACCTGAGCCAGCCAAGGCTAAGGGCCTGGGGGAAAGAAGGGGTGAGGACCAGGCTAAGCCTTAAACTGTGGAGACCAAGCCTTGGCTTCCACATAGCTGCAGTGGTCCTCATGCCAGCAATCCCCAATCAGATCATTCCTTATAGCACACACTCTCTCTCTCTCTCTAACACACACACACACACACACACACACACACACACACACACTTTCCATGGATCACCACTGTCTGAGTTACTTTTCTCATTGCTGAGACAAAACACCTGACACACAAGCTCACAGTTTGTAGAGGTTTCAGTCCATAATCAGCAGATTCAGAGGCAGGGTGGTGTGACAGAGGAGGAACATTTCATGGGGGCAGAAGGTAGCAAAGCAACAAGGGATGACCACAGCTCTTTCTATCCCTCATATTTCATCCAGGCTAGTCAGGGCAAGTGGCATTCACACCCTTAATCCTAGTGCCCTTGATCCTAGCATTGCACCATGAATCAATTCTAGTATCACATACCCTAAATTCACATACTCTGAAAAAGTCCCACGAATGACTGCATGAGGCTTTGGGGGGATGTCTACACACAGCCATAACACATATGATTTAATATAACTCATCAATATAAACTGAGGCAGCAGAAAGAACTTGGATTTGGAATTAAGAGGGTATGAGTTCAAAACTAGCTTGATCACTGTGGCTAGGTGAGCTCTTCATATTGCTTAATGTGCCTCCATTTCTTCATCTGTTAAAACATCTACTTTTATCTACAAGAACTGCTATAGCACAATCAGTAAGTGGAAAAAAACTTAGAAATCCCCTGTTCTCACTAATGTAAGAGAAAAGGGTAGACTAGGAGTGTAGCTCAGTGGTGGAGGGTATGCTTAGCATGTGAGAAGCCCTGGGTTCTATCCCCAGCACCACAAATAAAAATACAGAACATGTAAATACAGTATAGGTAGAGATTTACCAGGTATGTGTATGTCTGGAGGGTACATGTGTGTGTGAATGTATAGAAAAGAATCTAGTATCGTGGGATGCAATCAAAATATAATACAAGCTAAATATGTGATTTAAATTTTCTTAGTGGCCACCTTAAAAAATAGAAGCAACAGGGAAATTAATAAACTTTAAATTTAACTCAGCAGATTCCAAATGCTATTTCAGCAGGCAGTTAATATAAACTTTTTTGGGGGAGGCGGGGAGGGGTTTCGGTACCAGGAATCAAACTCACGACCTCGCGCTTGCCAGGCAAGTGCTGTGCCACTGAGCTAAACCCCCAGCCCCAATATAAACTTATTAATGAGATATTTCCCATCCTCCTTTCACACCAAGTCTTTTACCTCCGTGTGTATTTTACTCACACGTTTGACACATCTTGAGAGGGACTTGCTATGTGTCAAGTGCTACATGTTTTACCGACTCCTGTCTTACTCAGGGCTGGTCTGGAACCATCCACCCCCAGACTGTCCCAATCAGTCACAATTAAAAGCCTGAGAGGGCAGAAGACATGAACAAGGACTCTGAATTTCCTTAAACTTTTTCTTTTTTTTTTTTTTTTTTTTGGTATTCCTCGAATTTTCCACACCAAGCGTGTATTTTTGTAAAAGCATCATCGTTCTTTTTTGAAGTTATTTAAAGAGGAGGGAAAATACCTCTCTGGAGATCCATGAGATGGGGGGGAAAAGCATTACATGATAAAGAGCCATCCAAGTGTGTTTACTTACATCCCATCTTCTTGGAGGCACACAATGCAACATCAATGACAAAAGTTAAAAGTGGAAGCAATAAAAGGAAGGAAAACAAAGGTAAGGCCTACAGGAGCGAGGCGGGGCAAAGGCGCCCCGAGCGCAGGGTGCACAGGATTTACCTGGTTCACCTGGTTACCTGGCCAGCATGCACTGAGATTTCCCACAGCCATGCCACTCTTCCTGAACTCACTTCCGGCCCCTTTGGGATCCAAGATTCTGTCTGTTCCATCCTTGGCTTTCTCCCCTGCCTGCTCTCTGCCTCTCCTCGACAGTTCCATCTCCCACCTGGACCCCTCCCCCCGCGCAGCAGCTCGACCAGCTCACTCACTGCTCCTTCAGTCTCTGCTCTGCCACTGGGCCACCCTGGCCAGCTCCTGAATCCCTCTATTGCTTGCGGCTCCAATGCACATCCTCTGGGCACTAGCTGTGTGTCAGGCACCATGGGAAGCTCAGTCCTGCCAAAGATGACATCTCACTTAGCTCTCCCAGAGCTGCCTAGGGAATTCACTGGCTGGCGGCTGAGTTCTAAGAGACACCATCCTCCTTCAAGGCTCCTCTGATGGACTCGCCAGGGGCTGCATGGGACAAGTTCCCAGCATCCTTCCCTCCCGCTCTTTCTCTCACACCTGGAACCTGAAGCTGAGGCTCTGCCCTCCTTCCTTCCTCCCTCAGCCATGGAAAGTATGCCCAGCTCCTTCCAGATGTGAGCAGAAGCTCTTTTGTATCCTCAGGATTAAGCACGGGTGCAGGACCTGTGTCCTTGCTGGAAATGTGCCCAGGAAGGAGAGCTTTGGCATTGTTCCTTTTGCCTTAAAATCCAGCCCTACAGCCAGTGTCCCCACCTCCTCCTGCCAGGCCACCTGCAGGCATACCAGTGAATCAGGTGGGTTGGCAGTGCCCCAACCTGGGTGGCAAGGCAGATGGAAGCAGCAAGCTTCTCCTTACATCCTATCCATTCCTTTTGGTTTCTCCATGTTAGTCACAGCTGTAGCTTGAACCGCAATAATTGCAGTAGCTCTAATGCTGCTGCATGGTTTATCCCATTTGGTCCTTCCGGCAGCCCTCCAACCTGGGGCCCTGAAATCTCCACTTCACACAACACAGAGCCTTCTCTCCTTGGTGAGGATGGGGGTGGGGAGACGATCAAGCAACCACTGCAGGCAGGAAGGATGTACAGGCACAGCCACGACCTCCAGAAGCCCCCCGACTCTCCTCACCCCTTCTTCCTCCCACGTTTCCTCCTCTAAGGGGAAAGAAGTTGGATGAGAGGGAAACAAAACAAGGAAAAGTAAAAGAACTAAAGGCACTGCCTCAGTTCCACGGTGAGTGATGCCCCTCACATCCTGCCCCCTAAGCCTCAGGGACAGGGCATGGGTAGCAAAAGGGAAAGGAAGGCGGGAACCCATTCTGTTCCCATAGCAACAACCTTCCTGGGGCCTCCAAAGAGCAGAGTCCAAACCCCCTCCACTTTCGGGTGGTGCAGCCCTGTCCCGTGGCTCAGCCTCCCAGGCCCCTGGGCCTCTCACGGGAGCCCTTTCACTTACCTGCCCTGAGCAGGTTAACTCCTCCCCTGGCTCAGCCTGGGGCCCAGGTGCCAGCTCTTCCAGGACGCTGCCTGGGCCCTCACTCCATTCTCTCCAGCCCGGGAGAGGGAGGGGTTGTTAGGTGCTCAGCGGAATCTACAGCCCGGCAGCTCCTGTGAGGACTGGGCCTCCTCACTCCATGCCTAGGCCCAATCACCCATTCATTGCTCTTCCCGCCCATGCCCCAGGTCATCCTGGGTAGCAATTCCCCCGAGAGAGAGAGAAACCCTTTACAAAGCACCGCCGGCTGTGCCTGGGCAGCAACTTCTCCAGCAGAAAGGTCCAGATTCCTGCTGCAAAGCCATGCTCACCCCTTTAAACTCTCACCCTCCCCCACCTCACGGTTCTCCCGGGGCCCCCTGTAGCTGGTAGATCTCCGGGAATCACTGCACCGCGCAAAAGTCTTGGGAAGGATGCGTCCACACTAAGTCGCAGCGCGCACGAGCGCAGCATGCCTGTCCACACACAGTCATCCCCTGGCCCTCACACCATCAGCTGTGAAGTTCCCTTTCCCTCCCCTCCTCCCACAGAGGGCCCCACACTGTGGCAGGCCCGGCAGAGCCCCAGGGGACCCCAAAACAGTGCCCTGCTCTGGCCGGCCCCGGCGCCGCTCACCTTCTGTCTAAAGCTCCCACGGGCGGCCGGCTTGTGCAGGACCCGCGGTTCCTTCTCCCAGAAACAGGTCGTCCTGACCCAGCGGCCAGGCCAGCCCGCAGGTGGCGGTGGGCGGGGACTCCAGGTGGGAGTGGCCTGACGCTTCCCGGCAGAACCCCTCCTCTAAACAGGGGTGGAGGCGAGTGTCCCTGTCTGCTGGCAAAGTCCAGCTGGGTAGGGGAGTAGCTGAGGATCCCAGAAGGCAGCGAACTTATCAGCGTGGAGCTGCACGGGAGGAAGGCGGGAGGCGGGAGGGAGATCGCTAGGGGACAGCGCTGCACCTTGACACCCTCCCTACAGCGCCCCCTGCTGTTGAGCGGCGGTCCCAGGTCAGTCTATTCAGACGATAGGAGGCGAAAGGAGGAGGGAACTTAGCCAGAGCTTCCCAAACCACAACGTGCGCAGGAGTCCCCTGGGGCACTTGATAAAAAGGTTCTTTTCGTGAAGGTGTAGGCTGGAGCCTGCTGACCTAATGCAGCCAGTCCTGAGAGCTAAGGCAACATCGAGTTCCAGCTCCTCCTGGGCAGGAATTTAAGTAGGCACCGGGTAGCATCTGTCCTCTACCCCCTGCCCTTTCCACCCACCCGACCCTGCGCTCTCAGACCCTCGCAAGGAGAGTGGAACTTTGGGGTCGTTTGCCAGCCTGGGCCCTTAGGAACTCTACCCCGAGAGATGACACCAGAATGAAGGTGCCCAGGGGCGAGGGGTTTGGCCCCTCTGTCCACCGCTATCTCCTCAGCTCCTGGTGCACTTGGATTCACAGCAGCTGCGCCAGAGGGACTTGTGTCACCCGCTCAAAGGGAAGCGGAGGCTTTCTGGATCCAGGCCGGCAACTCAGGGCCCTGGTGACCCTCATGTTGGCTACATGACCTTGGGCTAGCTACTTAACCCCTTTCAGCCTCAGTCCCCTTGTCTGGCAAGTGCAGATAACAACCTTGGATGGGATAATAGCTGTCATTTATTGAACCAATAAAGGAAAACTGCCTACCACCCAGGACCTGTTATCACCACGGCGAGCTCTGAAGTTTCCAGTTACCACTTCCCACCAATAACAAGCAACTTCTGCTTCATGAGAGCAAGTGTTTAAATTCTGCATGTGTGCAATCACGTGGCATTTGTCTTTCTGTGCCTAGGGCTCAATTCACATGTCACAAGTAGCAGGATTTCCTTCAGTTTTCTAAGGCTGACTAGTATTCCATTGTGTATGTGTAACATTTTCTTTATCTATTTATCTGTTGATGGACACTTAAGTGATTCCCTGTCTTGGATCTTGTCGATAGGGCACCAATAAACCAGGGAGTGCAGGTATCAGAGGCTGGGGAGAGACAAGGATGGAGGGTGGGGAGAGATTGGCCAACGGGTACAAGGTTACAGTTAGATAGGAATGAATTCTGCATTTTTTCTTTGCACAGTAAGTGACTATAGTTAATAGTACTGCATGGCGTTTCAAAATAGCTAGATGAAAGGATCTTGAACGCTTTCACCACTAAGAAATGACACACATGACGTGTGATGGATACGCTCCTTACACGATCTGATTGTTACGAGATGTATACATCGCACTGTACCCCATACATATGTTCAATTGTGTGTTGAGCAAAAACTAAAATGTGATTTTAAAAAGGTAAGAAGTAACCTCTTCTGGTTAAGTCTCAGCTAATGATCCTCTAGCCTCTTGTCCCTGACTGCAACCCCGCCGCTCTATTCCTTCCCTGGGTGGAGGGGAGAGGGTACAACAGACACCTCCGGGGAGTCAGAGCCCCAACCTGGACAGATGTCACGAAGCAACAGGTGAAAAGCAATCAACCTGAGAAGGCGACCCCATAGCTAAAGGACAGGCAAGGAGAAGTGCCCAGAACTTCGACAGGGAGCAAAGAGGGGAGGTGCTAGTCCTGTGTCTGCTCCCCGCAGGAGGCTGGACTCTGCCTGCAGATAGGAACAGTCTTCCCTGTCTCTCTTCAGGGAAGCTGAGAAGCACCAGGCCTTCCCTGAACGGATCCCCCACCCACCCCTGCTGTCGCTGAGTCATAACGTCCTAGCGGTTGTGGGACATCAGTCAACCACGAGTTCCAAGCCAGGCAGGCCTATGCCAAGGGGAAGGCTGTAACCAGGGTCCATGCTCATGGGTCATGAATTTATTTCCAAAGCTGATGCTTGCCTCACTTGGGGACAGTCATAGTTACAGAAAGGCTCTGGAGAGCTCTGAAGGCCATGCCACCTCCATGGACACAGAGCTGTAGCTGGGGGCTGAGCTGCCGTCTAAGGCCTGGGTGTCCCAGTGCCAGACCCTCAGCTATTCCATCAAGAGTTCCTCCAAAGACCAGACATCAGGGAGGACCTAACAGGGTGGGGTGTAGCTGAGGGGTACAGTGCTTGCCTAGCATGCATGAGGTTTGATCACCAGCCCTGGAAAAAAATAAATAAGAATCTAGCAGACCAGGGGGAACCCCCACTGAGAGGAAACTTTGGGGCCATATAAGCCTCACCATGGACTCCCCAGAATGTCACCACCCTTGGCATTTGAGAAAAGCAGGCCAGCTAGGAGCCCTGCTCCACCCTCCTCCCCACCACGCCCCGTCTCCTGCCCTCCACACACCCTGGATCATCAGGCCCAGGCCTGAGAAGTGCACTGCCAGGGGTTAGGTCATGTAAGGCCTGGGGACAGGAGAAAGAGGGTGAGGGCAGGGAAGCTCCAGCACTGGACAGAAAAATCGGGAAAATGGAGACAGAGATAGGATGGCAGAAGACAGCAAAGGACAGTGAGGAGCCAAGAAGGACAAATGGAAAGATGGGCATGCAGGCAAGGTGGCCAGCCCAGTCTCAGGAGCCACCAGGACAAGCATCCTTGACCCCTGACGGGAAAGGACAGATTGAGCAGTCAGTCCAGAACATTAAAAATAACCAAAATGTTTACCTTCAAATCCCATCATAGGGAGAAGGCTGATGTACAAAGGGTGATAGAAAAAAATATGGTAGCTCTGAAAAAAATAGAAAGGGATGTTTACAGTAAAAGACAAATCGCTAAAAAAGAAAAAAAAAAGATGAATTGCTATTAATCTCCTCCCAAAATGACACTCCCCCTCACTGTCAGTACATTTATCCCATCGTCCTTGCCACTTTCTGAAGCAGTTCTGGAGTCCTCTTTGGTATCTTTACAAGGTGTGATCAAAGTTACTGCTGTCAAGTGCGGCCAACAGGAAGGCAGCCTCGTAAAACTATGACGCTGTGTCCTCATCCAGCTAATTCACCAGATCTGACACCACCTTCTGGCTCTTCCCCAAGGTCAAAATGACTGTGAAACGTAGACATTTCAGATAGATTCGGGATATTGAGGCAGCCACAACAGCACAACTAAAAATACTCAAGAAACAGGACTTCCCGAACTTCTCCAGAAAGTGCCAAGAGCCACGGAGCAGGAGGAGTATATTGAGGGGATTAAGGCCAGCATCCACCGCAATTTTTTATCACACCTTGCCATATCAAGAGCAAAGGAGAATGATACGGGGGACAGCACAGCCTTTTGATTGGAGGAAGGTTTGTACATTATCCTACGTGCAAATGATATGCAAATAAAGAGCCATGCAAATGATATGCAAATAAAGAAGCATGCAAATGAGCAAGGCAGCTTCATAATGAAAGACCCGGTGGATGTTTTCTGAAGAATCTGGCTGCAAGATCTGTAGATGGTTGGGTTTGCAGCCTGACCCACCAGAAATAGGGAGGCTTGGGGCAACCGCACTCCTCATGCTCCAGGAGCAGACACGAGCTAAAGCTCGAGAGAAGAGGATGCCCACCATGGCAGTTGGCTGTTGTGGATGTGGGCAGATCTTCCTGGGTGGGCCCAAGAGTGTGCCAGTCTGGTCTAGTAAGATAAGTCTGGGCAAATGGGCCAGCCCATGGGTGACTAGAAAAGACCCGGGCATCTCTGGCTCCTGCCTTCAGAAAATGGGGCTTCCAGGTGTGGCACTGCCAGCTGAGGTAAGACAGTGTCCTTGGCAAGGGCCTGCTAGGTGCCTGCCCATGTGCAGTGCACTGTGGGAGGTCAAAAAGACAGTGACACCTGGACCTGACCTCCAGGGGTCAGACACCTGGGGAGGACGGGAAGCTTTGGACTCAGAAGCAGATGCTGATACCAGGCAGTGTGGTCCCAGGACCAAACGACTGGTGTGGGGAAAATAAATCCACGGAAGCCAGAAAATGGGCTGGGTGGGACATGGTTCTGGGGCAGGGCTGGAGCTGAGCCCAAGGTGGCAGGTGGCAGCAAGGAGTGAATGACAACCTCCTAGGAGGGGTTCTGGCCGGGGAACAGCATCACATTAGAGGTGGAGGCAGACACAGAGGCACGGGGCAGGACTGCAGGAAGCCTCATCATCAGCACGCTCTCTGCTCCACAGGTTCTGCCCTCTTGAAGCAAATGCAGTCCCAAGGGCCCATCTTCGTGGGCCTGCCTCACCTGGGACCCATCCTGTTCTGGTTGTTCACCCGATATTCAGTGACCGACTGGTGCAAGGGCTTGAGGACCCTGTCCTGGTGCCCACCCTACAAGACTGTACTGCTGGTGTGGACAACCATCTACTCTCTCATGGGGTGAGCATGCACTCCTCATGGGTGGCCCTGCTACCCACCGCAGAGGAGCCAGTTTCCCAATATCCAAGCTCCTCCAAAGGGTTGCACCCCATCTTGCCGCTCCAAAGGGGTTCCCAAGACAGAAGCCCTCTGCCTGCCAAGGACTCCAACCAGCCCTTTTCCTCTACCTCTTCCTTCTCCCAGCCCTCCTTCACATCCCAGCCCCCTGGCCCTCAGAGGATGCGCACACCACGTTTCCCGCATCCTTACTCCAGCCTCCTCCGGGAACCGCAGGACACCCTCCACTGTGTTTCTGCCACCTTCTCTCCCCAGCTACGCCTCCTACCTGGTATGGAGGGACCTCGGAGGGGGCTTTAAGTGGCGCCTGGCCCTGCCCCTTGGCCTCTACGCAGTCCAGCTGCCCATCAGCTGGGTCGTCCTGATGCTCTTCCTGGGGGCTGCCAACCCTGGCCTGGTAAGGCTCCAGCGCCTCAGTACAGGAGGGAGTGTGGGGGGAGGGGAGCCCACCAGCCCCAAAGCAGACAGCTGAGATCAGGCACTGGCAGGTAACTGGTAGGCAGACTCCTGAGGGCTCCTGGGGTGCACCGAATTCAGGGGCTACAGAAAGGTGGGAAGCCTGGCTCCCGGGCAATGTACCAACCCTGCCCCTTTGCCCAGGCGCTGCTACATCTGCTTCTGCTCTACGGGCTGGTGGTGAGTATGGTGCTGGTCTGGCACCCCATCAACAAGCTGGCTGCTCTGCTGCTGCTGCCCTACCTGGCCTGGCTCACGGTGATTGCCGTCCTCACTTACCGCCTCTGGAGGGACAGCCTTTGCCCCATGGCCCAGCCTCAGCCCACAGGGGAGACTTGCAGCTGAGGCTGCAGGGCACAGGAGACAAGGGAGGAGGCTGGGGTTGGGGGCCGGAGCATACCAGCCAGCCCTGGGGCCAGGGCATGGCCAACAGGGGCACCCTCCTGGGCCCCCCCTGCTGCCTTCCCTTAAAATGGGAAGGGAAGAAATGTTTTTATACTCTGATAATAAAATTGTGTTGGTAACTTGGCCGGCGTGGGGTGAAGTGTGCCTTTGAGTGTGTGGCATCAGGGCTGCCGGTGGGGATAGCAGTTCCTGCCCCTGGGTGCAACAGGGCACCCGGGGACAGATCGTGAACCTTCAGCCAGAGGGTGGCACCATCTCTGCCCCTCTCATGCCCTCCCAAACCTGTGTAGGGGTATTTAGTACTTCAGCTTTTAACCACCGGAAGATCAAAATCTTTTTGAAATATTGCTTAAAAGCTAAAAAGACACATAAAGCAAAAAAGGATCCTAACATCACATGCGAGGATTATATATTATCTAGTATATTAATTTATACATCATATTTATAAAATACATAGAACATATAATATGACTGTATAGTATGTGTCATGCTAAGATCATGGTTATGATAGCTTTGTTTTGTTTTTTTATTTTGTTTTGTTTTGTTTTTGGCTTTTCTGAGACAAGGTCTTGCTATGTAGTACAGACTAGCCTTGAACTCACTCTGTAGCCCAGGCTGGCCTTTAACTCACAGCGATCCTCCTGCCTCAGCCTCCCAAGTGCTGGGATTACAGGCGTGCACCACCACACCTGGCTTGTGATTACTACTTATAAGAGTCTCATATACTCTTTTAATTTTTTATGACAATGTTAAAAAAACAATAAAAATGATATAGAATTTCAAAACAAGATGATAGGAAATTATAATGGTCATTATATTGCACATTATTATCTTCAAAGTAGTTGCTCAGATTACCAGATATAAGCATGTAAAATTGATCAAACATTATAAACACTAACAGTTCCTTTCAATGAACTAATAGAAATTAGTGGTACAATTATCTTAGCTATCATATTCCTTCCTTCTTTTCTCCTTTCCCCCATCCCAGTTATTCTTTTGTTTTTGAGCAGTTCTTTTCCCTTTCATAAGGTCTACTGTACGTTTTGGATAGAAAGACAAGAAAAACATTTAAAAACAAAAGGGGCATAAGCCTCGGGAAGCTGAGAGTTGAATTCTGTAGGAACTTCCTGTGGGATCTTCTCCCTTTCTTAGGCCATCAAAGTCGCCTTTTAATTTGTGTCACACCCCCTCTTCTTTCCTTCCGCTCTTGTTTCATAGCCTTGGTTGTGGCAAGGAGTGTCGCCCCTGGGCCTTCTCCCAAGTCCTTGAACAAGGCCAGCTGGAAGCTCAGACACCTAATGGTCGGACGTCTTCCCCCGCTACCTGGTGGGATGACAGTGATGCTTTTAATTCCGATCAGACTCTCCGGGGATGAGGCATGAGTATCAACATGTTTTAAACCCCCAGGGCCTCTTCAGAGGCAGCCAAGGCTGAGAACCATGGCAGAATGTGTGCCAGGGCCATTATGAAGCTTTGTAAACTATGTATGTTCCTGAAGCCTCCTCCAGACCGACGCATCAGAACTTTGGGAGTGGGCTCCTGACATCTTTAGATTTTAAAAGCTTCCCAGCGCTTTTGTGAGCGGCTCCAGGAAGTTCAAGTAGTCCAGGCATGGCTTATTTCTCCAGGCCCAGTTAGCATTGACAGTCGGTGGTTCGGTGAGCTGAGTTTTGGGACTGAAACAAACTGCATCACTCTAGGCAGGAACCAGAGACCTTGCAAGAGAATCCAGCAGGGCAGCATCCCTTGGGAAGGGACCTGGGTCCTTCCCGAGTTCACCCAGTCTGAGGGAACTGTGGCCTCCCTTCCTCCACCAAAGGCACGCTCCAGCCAGCAGGGTGGGTCACCAGAGCCGAGGAAGAACAAACACCAGGTCCCACCCACCTTCATGTCTGCAGCCCCAGCGCAGGGCAGGGCACAGAGCAGAGACTTGCAAACTTCTGACTGATGGAATGACTGAATAAATGAACACAATGTCATGCTTTAAAAAAACAAAATGTTACCACTACCACTCCCACCCCTACTCTGGACCACCTGAAAAAGAAGAGAAGGGTTTTAATAGTTTTGGAAATTTCTCCTGGTTCTGAGCTACACCCCAGGGCATTCTATGGAGTATGGGCTCCATGCCTGCTGCAGACCAGGGAGTGAGAGTCTCTCTTGAGGACAATAAGGGTGCTGGGGTTTGCAGTTCTGACCCTGGGGTCAGACCAACCTGGGATTAGAAACTGACTCTGTCATTCATTAACTGATAACCTACCTTGTGCTCCTGTTGCTTTCTTTTTTTTTTTTTCATCTGCAAACCTCGTAGATTTATGAGAAAGAGATAACAGGAAGGGAAAAAAAAGGTATCTGCCACAGAGAAAGTGCTCAGTAAGTGTTCTAGGATGGAAACCTAGGAACCCGTTAAACCTAGGAAACTATTAAACAAGCATCCACCCCTCTCCAGGCGCCAGCAGCAATTGCTAATCTTCCTGCCAGCCAGGGAAGTGACCTCTGTCACCCCGGGCTGTGGGCCAGCCTGACCACTGTCACACCCACATGCACATCCCTGCGGGTTCTTTCTCCATCTGAAATTGGTAAAAGCTGCTTTTGGTGTTGGGATCGAGCTCCATGGTAAAGAACTTGCCTAGCATGGGAGAGGCCCCGGATTCAAGCCCACGCACTGCACACGCGCAGGCACACCCCGCCTGTAGCTTCACGTAGAGCTCCATTTATACATGCAACTGTTCTAAATTCATGTTACTGTGAATTGTCTTCCACACCCAAGTCACAGGAAGTCACAAGAACGTCACAGGAGCGTCGTCTCGCAGGGGCCCCTGTTGTAGCTGCAATACAACACGGTCAGCCCCCCTGTGGCCAGACAGCGCTTGCTGAGATGGTAGAATTTCCTGATGAGGCCAGGGACGGGAGTGGTGTCCACACAACTTCTCCCAAGGACCCCTCTTGCTTTTGATCAGCTTTTGCTGCTTTAATCAGCCTCCTATAAAACCAGTAGTCTAGCACAGGGGCTTGGTGATTTCGGGGGTGCTGCAGCCCCAGTAAACTCACCCACCAAGCTGGACTTGTCCGGGTTGATCTGTGAATGGTTGGCCCTCCTCTGCTCACAGGCAGGAGCCTCTGACGGAAATTTATACAACATCAACAAATATGGATTGGCAGAAGATGGGCTCAGGACCCACACTGCGTAGGTCCTTATCTCAAGCCCCTTCCCAAGGGTGGACACCCCGAAAGCACTCGCCGTTAGTCTTAGCACCATCTCATATCTGCATTGTAATATCAATGCTGCCGATTTTAATCATGTTACCCGCTAACCCCAGAAGTTACGCTGACCCTCTAAGAAGATACACCATGTATACAGCATGACTCTGACCACCGCAAGGCAAGCTGAATCCACAAACCCCAGGTCTAGATGCCTCTAGCTTTGGACACGTGGCCAGAAAAGGAAGCGTAATGTGGGCCAAGTCTCCAGCGCTGGGGGCGGCCATGAAAGCCCAACACATACAAGCCACACTAAAGAGCTTCTTGCTTCTTGTCCATGCACAGAAACCCAGCCTGAAAGGGCAAGATCCTGACCCCAAACTTAACCCTCTGCCCCTAAAATGGCCCTTAAGAAACAAAGCAAAAACCCCTCCACCAGCTCTTTGGTTGCTGGGCCCATTTCTGCAAACTGGAGACAGAGGGTACAGACAGGCAGCCAACTGATAGTGTATCCGCTGCACAGACGCTTGTCGCTGGGCTGGGGGTGCAGCGTGCAGGAAGTGTTTTTCCTGTGCCCCTCTCCTCCTCCCACTTCCAGGCCTATGGAGCCAATGCCACAGAGCTCCCTACAGGCCTCCTCCCTATCACAGGCTTTAAACTCTCTTGTCTTCCTTTGTGGTTCCTGTCATCCCCTTTATCTCTTGGGGATCCCTGCACCCTGAGCACAATTTCAGGCCCTCCAGAGAGTTCTCCTTTCACAGCTCCCCAAAACAAGCACAAAACCCTTCTGTTTCAAAGATCTCACTGCTGATCTCCACACAGCCCACAAGTTACGGGGCCCAAAGCCCGAATTCACAGGGGGCCCCCTTGGGTCTCGGTCTTTGTCTTGTCCTTGGGTAGAGCTCACCGAAGCGCTTCCCTCCCTCCCAGGCTCCTGCTCCCCGATAGCACCCAGACAGTGCAAGCCAAGAGAATCCATCTCGATCACATTGCGGTCTCCCCCATGTCTGTAGGGCCCGACTCATTATCTACGGTCTGTGCCCCTGAGGTCCTTGGGCTCGCAGAGAAATTATCTGCACCAAGGAACACTGGAGACGCGCCTGTCCCTTCCACCCACACGCACGCCAACACTTTCCCATCTTAAAGGCTTGAAGCCTTCCTCAAAATCTGATGTCACATGCACACCTCTCTCCCAGCAGGTTCCCTGGCCTCGCACACAATTCTTCAAGAGGAATAACGCTATTAGTCACCCTAATGGCACCATGGTTATCAGATCACTTTCTTCAAAGACTCAAGCAAGCAAAGCCAAAGGGGAACACTTGTAAATGCTAGGAGTGGCTGCTGGCAGGGAGGTCTGCGGAGACCAGGACTAAAGTCCTCAGTGTCACCAGAGCAGCGTCTCCTACAAGCGTTGTGTTCTGTGGAGAAGGCTGAAAACCCCAGCCTGCATCCTCAATCCCAGCTTCAGACTCTAGAAGACCCTTGGCTCCCTCTCCACTCCCCAGCAAAGCCGCTCCAAGCCCGGACACCCATGTTTATGTCAACAGAGCGGTTGCCACAGCGTGCAGGCTCCTGCCCGCCAGGGGGTGTCTGCTGCCCAGAGCCTGTTGTTTGTGTTCCCTGTCTCAGTAGTGACCGGAAGGGCAGGCACACCCTGGCTGGGTCTCTGGGGCAACGCGCTGTTGGGGTCCCAGCTGTCCCTGCACATAAAGCACTCACTCCATCTACGTGCTCCCAAGGTGTCTTCTTACACGGGTGAGAATTTAAACTTTCCCCTGGTGAGGCTTCTAGTTTCCATCAGCCCCTGTCCTGCCCGTTGCTCCCTTCCCACTCGGCCACGACCCAGGGAGTGGCCGTGCCTGGCCCTGTCTCCTCTTCCTCGGCCACCAGGAGAACCCCAGCATGTTTTCAGAAGTGACCATGGGAGGTGGGGCAGGGCTGCAGCTCATCCCAGCCTAACCCTAGCCCGGTTAGACACCTGCAGAAGTAAACAGGGCCCACAGAAAAGTCCCTTTGGGGTTTCTGACCCTGAGAAACAGCTGTGTTATCTTCCTGTGGCCCTGACACGCACGCACACCTCAACACCAAATACTCCCGAGCCTGCTCTTCCTGCCGGAACTCCTTCCAAGCCTCCTCGGCTCCCCACACCACCCCTGCCTGCTCCGCTGGTCCCCAGGGTCCTGGGGCAGGAGAAACTGGATGGTGAAGGGTAAAGAGCATTAACCTGCAACAAAGAGCTCTGCCTCAGTAGCCGCTTCCCCTCTGAGCCTCAGTTTCCCCACCAGTGGAACAGGCATCATAGTACATAGTACCTACCCTAAAGATCCCCTCGAGGAGTAAAGGAATTCATCTACAAGTGCTTAGAGTAACACAGCGCTGGCAGCCAGGGTTGCGCTGATGCCAGCCTTGCATGGTACCAAATTCTGGGCAGCAGCAGAAGCCGAGAACTTGGAGGCTGAGCAGCTGGGTTCAAATCTCAGTGCCCTGCTAACCCCATGAAGCCTTGAACGAAATATTTTACTGCCCACTTCCTCCTATGCAGGAGGGGATTGAAAGAACCTTCCCCAGTAGGGTTAATGGGTGCTGGGGGACAGTCCTAAAAAGAGTGTAGTGGCAGCTGCAGGGGGAGGAGCCGGGCCCAGGCACCTGATCCCCCAGATTAGCTGTTGCACTGTGGGGCCTGTGGGGGAAACTGTCTGACTTAGAAAGGAGAGCCAGAGACCAGCCAGGAATGCAGGTCCCTAGTTGTGCCATAAATAACCAGAGCCAGGGCATTCAGAGGCCTCCGGGGCTAGCAAGTGGGGGTGGGGGCTGGAAAGGAGACCTGGAAAAGGGAACTGTCCCGTGGGTCTGGGGGTGGGGGGCAGGGCACTCTCCCAAAGTGTCTAGGAGTGAGGGGTCGCGACCTTGGGAAGGACCAGCCGGGGCCCCACTTCTGCAGTTTCCCAGCATGGCGATCAGAGACGCAAGGGGAGTCAGCGAGCTCGCCCCTGCTCACCCGCACCCTGCCCTCTTCACCTGCCCGCCCTGCTCCTTCACCTGCTTCCTTTCCACCATCCTGGAGTAGCGAGTTAACATGCTGGAGCCACCTGCATCCCAGGGGGGAAACCGAGGCCCAGAGATGCGAAGGGATCTGGCCATGATCATGCAGTGAATAGGGGCTGAGATGGGACCAGGAAGTATTTTTTCCTCCTAATCCAGGATTATGCAAGAGAGGGAAAATGTAAGGGTCCTCCTCAAGGAGGAAGCTTTTGCCTCTGGAGGAACAGTGAAATGATAGATTGATCCACCCACATGGGGACATCTGACTTTCCCTCAGTTGATTCGCGCACATCCCTCTAGCTGGTGTGAGAGGAACTCCCATTTCCAACGCCTTAGAGATATCAAATCAGAGGTATCTGGGTGCAGCCTTGGAAATAAGGCTGAACTTAGGCTCAAAAGATCGGGACCTAAATCCATGTCAATCTTGTACAAATCACTTTCCCTTCCTAAGACGTGGTCCCTAACTTGCAAAATAAGGTCAATAATTCCCACAGGCATACAAGTGCTGTAAGCAATAAATGGGATAACGCATGCTTCACCACCTGATTAATGCCCCGAATGTTATACAGACTTCAAGACCTGCCTGTTCACCTCTGTTCATGGCACTGACTGCATAGGAACCTTCGATAAATGCTGATGAAATAATGAGAATGAAATAAACTCTTTGCATTTCAATGCTGTACGTTTGCATCCTAATAAACACTCTGAGTTGTTTATCAGTTGTTATGGGCTTTTGGTGGTGCTGTGACTTCCACCTTGTGCTTGAGTCTCCTGGAAAGATGTTTGAGAACATAATCTCTGGACCAGAATGCTTTTAGTAACAAGTCTAACAGACGAAGTCATCGTACCATGTACCGTCCACACTGGTAATCATGCCCGTGCAACTGGGAGACCACGACGACTGCAGACAAACCAAAACGCTGAGCATCCTGCTAACCACATGTGCTGCTCAGAACTCTCTGGAGCGGGGAACCCCAAATACGCAAAACCCCGGAATGTCTTCTCCAGCCAGAACACAGCAGGGACACCCTCCTCTTCTCCACCACCCAGCCCAGCTGCAGCTGTTTTCAGACTGGAACTCCTCCCCCTGCTCTTAGATTTCTCTCAACATGCAGGTGAGCCAGGCACCCCCTCCCCTTTCCCCCAGAACATCCCAGTGTCTGCATTGCCCCAAACACAAACACTTGTGGCCCCTGCTAAGCATCTATCATGTAACCCGCAAAAGCTTCCCAGGGGTTCTGTATTTTCTCCTCTAGTTTCAAGAGGCTTCTCACTGATGCCCCTGTTCCTGCTGTTTCCTATCTTTAGTCCAATCTCAGCTCAACAGCTCGAGGGATCCTACAAAAAAGAAGTTGGAGCCGGCATGGTGGCGCACACCTATAATCCCAGCACTCGGGAGGCTGAGGCAGGAGGATCTTTGCAAGTTTGAGACCAGCCTGGGCTACAAAGTGAGCTCGAGTCCAGCCTGAACAGCGTACTGAGAATCTGTCTCAAAAAGACAAAAAAAGAAGAGAGAGAGAAAAAGAAGTTGGGCTGTGTGTCTCATCTGTGTAGAGATGACAGCTTTGCATCTCACACAGAGAAAAACCCAGGTCCTCAGAACAGCACACCAGGGCCCAGCCTCTTCAGCTCACGCTGTCTTGGCCTCCTCTCCTGGGCCTCTCCAGCCATACAGGTGTCCGCACCAGGAAGGCCCCATCTCAGGGCCTTTGCACCTGCTATGTCCCTGCTTGGAGCACTTTCCCCTTAGAATTTCACTTGCCCCCTTCAGATCATTTCTCAATCGTCTCCTTTTCAAAGTCCTTCCCTGGCCACCCAGTAAAAATGTTAACTCACCCGTTGCCTCTTTCTATTCTCTTTCCCCTTAGCATGACCAGCGTCTACCAAGCAGAGCATGTATTTTACTTCTCTTACTTACTGTCCAACTCCACGAGGGTGGGGGCTCTGCTTTGCTCTTTGCCACAGTCCCAATACCTGAACCAGCCCCTGGCATGGGTGCTCGATAAACCTCTGTTAAACAGGTAAAGGGTCAGCTGAGAGGGAGCAGGGCATGGAGGCTGCCTATGCCCTCTGGAGAGCATACAGCTGGGTTTCTAATCCTGTGCGCTCCACTTAGGAGCTGCATGACCTTAAGCAAGACGTTCAACCCTTCTGGAGCCTCCATCTCCCCACTTGTAATGGGGCATGGTACACATGGCCTCCCGGGGCAGTAGAAACCACTAAGCTCTGTCCAGCCCGTTTCAAAATCTTGAAATTCAGCAGCTGTCACCGTGGGGGCTCCCAAACAACTTGTCGTCACACAGAGAAATCAGGGACCCTGACTCGCAACTCACACGATCTCTTCCCGGCCAATTTTTACCCTACTCATCTGTCTTGGTTACTTTTCTCTCGTTGCTGAGACAAAATACCCAACGCCCAAAATGAAGGAAGGAAAGGTTTATGTAGCTTACAGTCTGTGGAGGTTTCAGTCCATAATCAGCTGGCTCCCAGGCAGAAGATAGCAAAGCAACAAGAGCAAAGGGGGGAATGGCGGCGGAACAGCAAAGCAGCCAGAGTAAAAGGGACGAATGGCGAATGGCGGCAAGCAGCCTCTTTCCCTCCCTTACATTGTAAACAGGCTACCCCCACCTAACGGGGCGTGTAGCACTCATAGAATCTCCATGCCCTCCTCTTCCACAGGCTCAGGATGTATACAAAGCAAGCACCCTGGCTTCCCGCTGAGTCACTTAGCCAAACCTCTAGACGCCCCAAGTTGACACAATGTATCAACCATAACAGCATCCCCAGGACCCTCCTTCCCTAAACCCAGTTTACCTGGTGTAAATTGTGGAAGTCTGTAGTTACCCCCCCCAACATCCAACTTACCCCACTTGAAACTGAGAGAGGGTTTCTCCCCTAAATCTCAGCATGGCAGCCCTGAGCTTCCCCCCCACCCCACCCCAATGGAGCTGGGTAGTAGGGTCAGAAAACAAAGGGGGAAAGCCAGGTTGACACAAGGGAAAAGGCAGGGGAAAGCAGGCCGAGGCTCCCCACCTGCCAGCTTCCTGTCTTTGCTACTGATAAATAGGTGCTACTCATGGCCAGAGTTTCCATTCCCCCATCCTGGCACCGCTGTCACTCAATTTTGAGAAGACAGAGGGGGAGGACGTGGGGGAGGGGTGGGAGGCCCCATTATAAAGCTGCAGTGGAGGGGGCAGCCGGAGCCTGGCCTGCCGGGTCCTCTTTCCTCATCCCCAGCCAGAACTGCTGACAGCTGCTTGGGACTCTGCCGCCAGGGCCTGGCCAGACCCACAGGCTCCCTGCAGTCGCTCCGTGACTCCTGAGCCACAGCCTCTAATGGCCCAGAAAGACGAGGCCACGGAGGCCGCAGCCGCTGCTGCGCCAGCCTCTCAGAATGGGGAGGAGGACCTGGACGACCTGGCGGACCCTGAGAAGCTGAAGGAGCTCATCGAGCTGCCTCCCTTTGAGATCGTCAAGGGGTGAGATTCGCATGTGGGCTGGGCGGGTCCCCTCCCTGGAGACTGCGGGCTCAGGCAGGCGCACCTATGTCGGGGGACATGGCAACAGAGCTCTCTTGGCTTCTTGGGGAGACGCCTTGAGTGCTGACCAGGAGGTAGGAGGAGCCCTTAGAGGCAAAGGCCCCAGAAGGAAAGCATCCACAGGCCTCTTGGAGTTGGGAGTCGCCTGCCTCTCCTGGTAGAGGTTTAATCCCAAGGAATTTGGTGAGATGCACATTTAAAGATGGTCCCAGTCAAAAGCTCCCCCACCCTGCCTCAGCCTCCCTCTCTGCCCCTGAGTGGGTCTCTCCTCCATGCGTCTGTCTCTGGTGCTTCTGTAGAGCTTCTCTGTCAGGCAGAAGATCCCAAGGCAGGGGGCACAGGTTCATCCATTCTGAAGGCGGAGTAAGAAGCAGCTTTTATTTTCTTGAATCTCTCCCGAGTCTCAGGACCGTCCATTTCCGCTCCAAGGGAATTGATTGCAGCACAGACAAAAGGCTTTTGGCCAGGAGCTTCTCTCACACCCTCAGCCACAGCCTGGAGGACCTGGGAGGTCCGGAGAAAGACCCTGAGGCTCTGAAGAGGGGGCGGGTACAGATTCCCTCTGTGTGGTCTAGCTTGTGCCATCTTCTCTAAGACTAAAACCAAGATGTCCTCCTCCTCTTCCTGTCTATCCCTATAGAGGAGGCCCTGCTAAATTATTAAACAAAGAATAAGCAAATCTGGAGACCACATTTCCTCCCTGACCCCAACGTTCCTTCGTGGGGGTCACCCATGATGTGCACAAGCAGAGTGGGCACCAGAGTAGGAAGAAAGAAGGCGTGGGGGCCTCCGGGAGGAGGGAGCGCCCCAGGATGGGGGGGTGGGCTTGCTGTTCTCTGCTTGCCCAATAATCTCCCCGTCTTGGCTCAGCTTTATCATTTCTAACATAGGAAGCGACATTACTTGATTCCTAGGATCCCTTCTGGCTCGGAGGCTGCCTGATTTCTAAGAGTGTGGGAAAACACAGCCCAGGTCCTTAGGCACAAGGAGCCTGGCACCTCCGTCTGCCCATCCATGCTTGCTCAACAATCTCGGCCTCAGCCTGGGATTAAAGGAGCAGCTGAGCCCAGGGTAACGTAGATGCAGGGAAAGCCTAGGGCGGCCAGACAAGGGGCACCTCCCAGTTCCAGGGGCTGTCTACGGAAGGAGAGCCTTTCTCCTCCCCCCGGCACACTGGGCCACACCACCCTTGGTCACATGCACATGCAGGTACACACACTCCCCTCTTAGAGCACTGCGATTTCCCAGCACATTCTGGGAACAGGTTCTGGTCCAGAACAGAACTAGACTAAGTCTACTGGGATGAACACGCTTTGAGATCCCAAAACAGTGGATTCCAGAGGGTTAAGTCCTCTGATATAACTGACCTCCAACCAGGACTTCACCACCACCACGCACCTCCGAGTGAATGAGTTCACTGAACCCTCAGCCCGGTGCTAAAAGAGACAGATTTATTATTTCCACTTTACAGAAGGGGAAACTGAGACTCGGGGAGACTGAGTGAAAGTCCAAGCCCACAGAAGCAGGAACTGGCAGGTCTTCAACACCCAGCAGCGTCCTGTTCACCGGTTGGTCTCTCCTTCATTCTGGGCCCCCAGGTTTCCAGCACAGAGCAACACCCGTACCCATCCTCAAGACAGTGAGGGCTAGGGGCTTCTCATGACCCCAGGCTCGAAGAGGCACAGGCGGGGGCACCCTTGCAACTGAGTGTTCTGAGCAGTTCAGCGGGAGGTGGAGCCCTAAGTGTGCCCTGGCCGCAGTGACAGCTGTGGAGATCTGTTCCCTGAGCCCCTCCGGATAAATAGGTGCTTAAAATAGTGCAGAGGTGTGGCCGTCTGTACAGGGACTGGAGAGGAGGCAGCTTCCCTCTCCTCACCTCTCCATGTGCCCTGGAACCCAGGAGTCAGCAAACAGCTCCTTTCCTGTGCAGGACTCCCACCAAGAATGGATCCAAATTGCTCCTTAGATCTGGGATGAAAACGAGCAGAAGAGCAGCTGGCTTTCCAGGAAAAGCGTCTGAATATAGCAATAAGGAGGGAGATGCCCACTTGTAGCCATCCTGGTTGAGTGGGACACTCAGGATAGGAAGCAGCCCAAGCACATTAGCAAGGGAATATGGCAGAGAGTGCTGGGGAGAGGTGTGACATGCAGAGGGGGCAAATGCCCCCTCCTGTAGACCTGGAGTCAGCGTGTGCATCTCTTCCTCTCTGTGTTTGGTGGCTTCACACGGCTGTCTGGAAATCTCCATGGAGGGAGTATTGAGATTAGAGACATCCGAGAACGTTAGAAATCTGGAGCTTTTCCTTTCTTTTGGACACCTGAGTGTTAAAACTTCGCAGCACAGGCTGAAAGAACGGAAGTGCTAGAAGGGAAAGGAAGAGTGTCAGTGGGATCAGGTTTGGTAACCTTAAAGGATCCAGGGACAGCGCCATCCTCAGCATGAGCTGTATGTACTGAGGATGCCGTTGTCCATAATCTGAGAGGTTGAATGACTCAGCTCTTCAGATAAGGAAACAAAAGCTCAAATCTAAAGAGGGGCAGGTGGTTTGCCAAGAATTAGGAGAAGGAGTAGGGCATGAACCCCAACACTGTCCTACTCGAAAGCACCACAGTGCACCCTAAGACCATAAAGCGGATTCTTTCTAAATCCACAGACACTGACTGACTAGGAATTGTTCATTTACTACCTGTTCCGCCCACTAGTGTATTTACCCTTCATGAGGAAGGGGACTTCATCTTTTCTTTTTTTTTTTTGTCTTTTTGAGATACAGTCTCACTATGCAGTTCAAGCTGGCCTTGAGCCCACTTTGTAGCCCAGGCTGCCCTCAAACTCACAATCCTCCTGCCTCAGCCTCCTGAGTGCTGGGATTACAGGCGTGCACCACCTCACCTGGCCAAAGGAAGGGGACTTCATCTTTTCTGCTGCTTTACCCCAGCTCCCAGCTCCTAGTAGGTTCTCAAATACTTGGTGAATGAATGCAGGAACGCATGAGTAGGCATCTATTGTATGTCAGGCTCTTTGCCAGGCATCACAATAGGAAATGAACTGGAGGACGGCTTCCTGCAGAGAGAGGCTCAGGATATACGGGGACCTGGCAGTGCCGAGCTTAGATAAGAATGCTGGCATGTGCCTACCTCGGACTGTCACAAGTGAGGGGTGCTCTGGGGCACAGAGGCTAGTTGTCTGCCCCTCTCTTCCTCTCTCCATCCCTGGTAGCACCTGGATGTGTGCTTGTCTCTGTCTCTAGTTGCGTCATGTGTGATTTCACAGCAGCAAAGGGATTGTTACAGAACAGACATAAATGGCAGAGGGAGTGAGTCTCTTACAGCCACCTCTTCAGGTCCCAGAAGTTCGCTCGGGCCACAAGGGACCCAGAGAGAAGAGGCAGGATCTAGAAGAAAAGGGGCACAGGGAGTGAGGGTCCTTCAGTGCTACTTTTAAGGTCACACCTGGCTGCCAGAGCATGCTGGCAGGTGCACCATACACAGCAGGTGACAGCTGGCTGCAGGGTGGGGAGGGCGTCAGAGCTTGAGGAATAACAGCATCTGTCAGGGAGAAGGGGTCGGCTCCCGGCTTGCCTCGGGCTTGCCTCTGCTCCAGTCCTGCAAATCTCAAGGTCGCTCCTCAGCTCTAGAACCCGCTGCTTCTGCTCTGCCCTTCTGTCCCCGACTAAGCCCACTCACTGGCATCCCCTTTGGAAGTGGTCTGAAAAAGACAGTGGCCAATGAAACCAACAACTGTACCTCTTTCATACCAGTCACTTTCAGGTCTAGCGAGCCAAAGCTGAAATAAGTCACTCTTCAATGGCTCTGAGTAGATGCTGCACTCCACGGGATGTTTCGGAGCAAATGTTTAACCTCAGATCAGTTTCCACAGCCCTCCATATTGCTCCTCCGCTGCTTAGATTTACGCTTAGGCAGCGAGAACTTTCTTTAACGTGAACCTGAAGAAAACATGTACTACATTTACTCCCATCTCTTCTCCGCCATCAAACAGGCCATCTTCCCCGATTTTGCTAGGTGGTAGGAGTCTGGGTTCCCTCTTAGAGAAGTGTGATCCTCAGTGATGCTCGGTAGCCTGGGTCTACACCAACAAGTATGAATGGCTTTTTCTGTGATGCCTAAAAGAGGTGATGACTGAGACTGTAAAGAGGGAACAGGGCCGAGAATCCTCACACTGCTGGTCTCTGCGCCTCAAGGAGGTGGAGACGGCGATCTTTCACCAGCATCCCTCTCCAGGCCGCCACCCAACCCGCATGCGCACACACACACACACGCATGCATACACGCACGCACTCACATACACACACGCACTCACCATGCACGCGCTTCTGTAGCAGTGAAATTCCTGCTGGGGTTGAGAGTGAAATATCATATTATTAGGAAAAAGGTCTGTGCGATTGAGAAGTCAGGTGTCTTTATTTCTCTCCTTCCACTTAGTGGTATTACAGTGTTATTTTGTGATTCCACAAAATGGCCCGAGATGTCCAGCTCCCTATAGAAGGTGCGCGTCACTCCCACGTCTGTTCTGGTGTCCCCTCAGAATCAGGCTGTGTTCATCTGCGGGTGGCCCAGAAACCCCGCTTTGACGTTTTCACTCCTAAAAGAATGAGAAGCCCATTGAGAAGCTAAGCAAGTTCAGGCTTGGAGCAACCCCAAAGCAAAGACCGACCCTGCCTTGCCTTCACGCCTTGAAAGCACTTCTGAGGCACACGGTCCCGCAGGCCCTGCTGAGGTACACGGCAGGCTCTGGGGCCGCTGGCCAGAGGGGTCGGAAAGAGATATTTATAGACAGGTGACCTTTCTTCCTCTCCCTTGGGTTTCAGGTTTCCCTGGGTTCTCTCTTCCTGCCTAGGGAAGAGGAGGGGAAAATGTCAGCTCTCAAGAGGGGATGAGAGAAGCAGCCTTCCTGCACCCCTCAGGCCAACTTGTGATTGCGTGCCAGACCACTGTGAGAGTTTGGGCTGGGCTGCACTTGGCAAAGTTGGAGCAATGGTTTGGCGGTTCCAGACAAAAACCTGAGGGATCCCATAGACAGCTACTGCTGAAGCCCCCAAGCCAACCAAGTAACCAGGACTGCTCTCCAGGGTTCCCACCAGAGAAGCCCTCATACAGATAGCTCTGGATTGCAGTGGGGCGGGGGAGGCTGGCAAAATACCTTGAAGAACAAAAAGAGGTTGAGCATAAAAGGTAAACGCTGTGCTTCTCAGGAGCAGAACAGCATGAAGGGACTCCTGAGAGCTTGGGAGTGGTCACTGGGGTTAGGGTAACTAGGAAAAGCTTGGTATGAGTGAATTTCCAGCAGAGTGAAAGAGGAGAGGGGAAACATCAGGCGATCCATTCTGCTAAAATGTTAAGTAAATAATAAACACCTCCAGCCAGAGACAGAGGGGCTTAGCAAGCTAAGTATAATACCCGAAGGAATCCTGAGGCTGGGTCCTCAAACACATCCATCTCTGCAGTGGAAACTTCATTTGACAACAAAAGACACGGCAACTTGGGCAGAGAAAAGTTGGAGGGGATCCTGCAGGGAAACTACTCAAGTTTACTCAGCTCCGTGACATCTGCCGCTCATCCTTAAGCAGCCAGGGCCTCGGGACACCTGGGATTCCCCTGCAGCCCGGGGAGTCTGGTGAGCTTCCTGAGGAAGGGGAAGGAATAAAGACACGCAGCGGGAGTTAGTGTGCTACAGGGCGGCTTCAGAGGCGGGCACAGAGATGACACTTCCGGGGGGCGACCTGGGTCTCACACCTGCGAGGCAAGTGCTCTCCCACGGAGCTACAGCCCAAGCCCCTGAGACGCCACTGTTAAAACTAAAACATTCAGCGTCTCTGTAGCCGGTACCCATCCCCTCCTCTCCTTCTGACGTTTCAATCCCTCCTACTGAAACCGTCTCATTGTCCTTGGCCCTTTATTTCCGGATCATGCTTCTCCTCCCTGCAGCCACTGGATATGTGTGCTATACGCCACCAAGTCATCACCAAGGACATCTCCAATGTCCTTTTTTAATCTGAGGCTCTTTTCTCCAACCACACTCCACTGGGCCAGTGCTACCACACTGACCTCCCATAGACATTACTTTTGTTTTTTTCTTTTTCTACTCAAGAACTGCAAATGGTTCTTCCCTGCCTCTTGAATTAAGGTGAAACTTTTAAGAACCTCTATCACATGTACCCTACTCTACCTGTCTACATCAGTGGGCTTCTAATGTCCTTTATTTATGAATTCTTGGTCCAGCTACAATCTAGCTGCTAGAAGTGAAGCACCCAGGAAGGGAGAGGCAAAGTTTCTCACGATTCTGAGATGACTTGATGCTATACACAGCTTAATGACCCCAAGGCCCCCCGGGAGAGTCCTATCACACAGGCACGTGTTCTTGGGCACTAACCATATGACACCTGAAAGAAAACAGACTTGAGAGAAACAGTCAACAGGACAGCATGGTTCTGGAAGACACAGGCCATGCCATGCTCAGAATGCAATTTACATGAGCTACGAGGAGGAGGAATAAAAGCATGAAATGTTGTGCAAAATCTTTGCCTTGCTCTGTCATGAGAAATTTAGCATGCTTGCTACTTGGTAAAACTGCTTTTTGAGCACTGCTTCTCAAATGTGGCCACCTGTCATAATCCTCTGGAGAGGTTTTGGTTTTTGCTTTTCAAACACTGGTGCCTAGGACCCTGCTCCAGACATCTCGGTCTCATCGGTCAGGGGTGGGGCCGACGTGTTGATTTTTTAAGCAGCCTCCATGGGACTGAAGCAGGCCTGGCTAGGTGAGAGATTCACTAGTGTAGAAGCAGCTTGGATGTGCTGCGCTGGGAGAGATGGCAGAACGGCGCTTGGAGATCCTTCCTAGCATGGTGACCAGAGTGTAAGCTCTCCTCTCCTCTTCATAAACACTTCCGGACTCTTTCCTGCAATGTTCTCACTGACATTCGCATAGGAAAGGCCTGCGTATGTAAGTCGTTATGTCCTGGAGATCTACCTACCCCAGGCTGGTCCTAGCAAAAAGAACTCATCCTTCTCTCTCCTTCCCCATCCTTTTATCTCCTTGGCCTACAGGGAACGACTGCCTGTCAACTTCTTTAAGTTTCAGTTCCGGAACGTGGAGTACAGCTCTGGGCGGAACAAGACCTTCCTCTGCTATGTGGTGGAAGTGCAGAGCAAGGGAGGCCAGGTGCAGGCTTCCCGGGGCTACCTGGAGGACGAGCACGCCGCTGCCCACGCAGAGGAAGCCTTCTTCAACACCGTCCTGCCGGCCTTCGACCCAGCCCTGCGGTACAACGTCACCTGGTACGTGTCCTCCAGCCCCTGCGCAGCCTGTGCTGACCGCATCATCAAAACCCTCGGCAAGACCAAGAACCTGCGCCTGCTCATTCTGGTCGGGCGACTGTTCATGTGGGAGGAGCCGGAGATCCAAGCCGCGCTGAGGAAGCTCAAGGAGGCTGGCTGCAGACTCCGCATCATGAAGCCCCAGGACTTCGAGTACGTCTGGCAGAATTTTGTGGAGCAAGAAGAGGGTGAATCCAAGGCCTTTGAGCCCTGGGAGGACATTCAGGAGAACTTCCTATACTACGAGGAGAAGCTGGCAGACGTCCTAAAGTAGGCCCCGGCCTCGGCTCCGGTGAGTCCTCCCGCTTCCCTGGCACTGGCTGCTGACTTGGGCAGAGGGCATGCGGTTGGGTAGGATGGGCGGTGTGACGTTGATTCATCTTTGGAAGGATTGCGTTTCTCTGCTTTGGACTGACTAAAAACATTTTAGAACATTGCTTCGTTTTTCTCTTTCCTTTGAATCCCTGTCCCTAAGTCCCCTTTGCTCTCCCCTCCTGCCTTTTCGTTTCAAACTAACTTTCCCAGAACTTGGGAAACCCAAAACGATGGAGATCCTAAAGCTCTGAGACAGAGTGCCCTTTGCTAAGATTCAGAAGGCACAGGGGCCTGCTGCTGGATAACAGCAGAGATGTTTAAAGCCCCAAGCAGGCCCCTGTACACATGCCCAGGTGCACCCCGAGCACCTTCAACATGCACTGCTCCTGAATCCATTTGCACTCTTAACCTCCATGTTTTCTCTACTACAGGATTTTCATCCTTCAGGGCCAACTCTTTCATCTTTGGTAATTCTCAAATCCCCAAGAGGATTTGTATTCAACTTTTGTTTTTGGCCAGACCTGCTTTCATGTTTTCAAACAAATGCTTATGCTTTGAGGGAGATCGATAATTGCTGTGTGAATGCATAATGCAAGAGCATTTTCCTGACTGAGAAGAGCTCAGCGAAATGGAAGAACAAGGGTAATACAGCAACAAGCCAGTTGACACAGGCTTTGCGAAAGGGTTAAAAAGGTTTGTAAATGAGGTGGCAGCTCAGAAGTAGCCTCCTACAGATATCGGGAGGTGATAGGAGAACTGGAAGTAAAGATTAGCTATTTAAGCAAATAATTAGGACACAATTAAGGCCAATTTGGCCTCTTGCTGAGGGTAAATTAGACTTTGAGAGAAACAGGCCAATTATCCTCAGGAAGACGGGTAAAGGACCCTTTGCGATCTTCTTTTGAATTTGGTCTGTTCTAGTTTGCTCCCCCAGAAACACTGTGACCGAGCCGAGCCCTGTATAATGCCAGAATCACTGATCAAACCACTCTCATCTGCACCTTTAATTCTAGAACAAGTCACATATTAATAAAACATGAAAGCAGCACGCCTCCGTGAATATAATTCAATTTATTTTTGGTGTTTCTCATGCCTAATACCCTCAAAAGATGCTGCCTCCTAGACATGCTGAAGAAATATCAATTCGTCAGAGGCTGGTGCGGGCAGGTGTTTCCTATTAGGCAGGCACACAGCGTGGCTGACCACCCTCAGGAGGAGCGCTCCACAAACCATCAAGACACGAACTACACGTAGCCACTTCTAAGAGACAGCAGGACCCGGCCGCAACCTCAGAAGGGCTATGGTAGGGTAATACATGTGTCATTCTGCTCACCTATAGAAGCGATGAGCAGCAGTAAAGCTAGATTTGAGCGACCTCTGAAAATACAAAGCTGACCTTTTAAAATGCTGTAAAGAACTTGTAAGTAGGTACTATAATTATAAACCCAATATAGACTACGGAATGACCACTGGGAGGTTCACTTTAACCCTACTATATTTGGTTGGTTTTTTTTTTTTTTTTTTTTGACTTTTTGAGATAGGGTCTCACTGTGCACTTTTGGTTGGCCTTGAATTCATTTTGTAACGCAGGCTGGCCTCGAACTCACAGTGATCCTCCTGCCTCAGCCTACCAAGTGCTGGGATTATAGGTGTGTGCCACCACGCCCAGCTTCATATTTCCTTCTTAAACATCTTTCATGGGCCACTTCTAGGTACCTAATTAGAAAGTTCTCAAACATTTTGTTTTGTTTTGTTTCAGGGATTTTTTTTTTTTCAATTAAAATTACGCATTCAAGGAAGATTTAAAAGATCTTTTGATTTTTGGATAAGGGTTCTGTTTGACATTAATTGAAATAAATAAGTCAGTTGGAGAGAAAGTTCATTTCTAAGTCAGACTTTTTAAATATAGAATATTATTGGGCACCTCCCTGTAGCCCGACACAGCTGTCTCTTCAGGGCCCAGCCCATGCAACCCGCCCCGAGCTGCTCTTGCTCCTGAACAGAAGGTGAAGATGCACCGAGCTTTAAAGGCATGAAATACAACTGTAACCTAAAAGCCCAAAAGCACAACCATACCTCATTAAAATAACCCCACAAAATGAGCAGTTGTTCAATAAAATGTGCCTCATATCTCTTATTAAATATTTTATTTGTAATAACAATGTTTAACCATGTATTCGAATCAAGAGAACAGAACTAAAGCAGATCTCTTCCAGGACTTTTTGTGTGTGAACCAAAACAAAGCATGAATAAAAGAAACTCCATCCGGAAAAATTCAGGGACTGGATGGAGAAGGCACCGAGAAACTTAGCTCAGGAACAGACTGGTAGCTGTGTGGAGTGAGAGCTCTTGGTAACATGTGTCTGTGTTTTCACAAAGGTCTGCCTGCTGCCACCAACGCACCACAGGGACACGTATGCTGCCGGGGACACGCCCGGCTTCCAGACATCCCTGGAGCTGGACGGCACCTGACACCAACGACCCTACTGGACTAGGCGCTCCGTGGATTCCAAACACACTTCTCACTGCGCGATTCATTTGGGCCGTGCCTCTCTCTAGAGCTGCTGTCGGGAAAAAGGCGAGTGAGCAGCAAAGAGAAAAGCACCAGCCTCTCAGGGGCCCAGGGTCTTCCTGACTCCCCGGTGCGGCTGCTTAGGCAGAGGCCTTAGGCCAAAGGTACAGAGCTTTGAATATGTCCAGAAGCGCATTTTATGTTCAGTTGGGCTGTTTTGTTTTTTTTTTTTAAAGAAAGAAAAACAGCAACATCAATAAAAGAAATAGTGTGGTTTTTCTGTGGCCTGGTTTCTCAAAGAACTTAGGCACCAGGAAGTTACCATGGACAGTGAGTCCCTGGCCTAGGGATGTCCTAGGCTACGAACAAAGCCATGGCATTATGGGAGAGAAGATTAAACCAGCTGGGCATCTGGTGCACACCCGTAATCCCAGCACTGAGGAGTCTAGAGCAGGAGGATCACTATGAGCTCAAGGCCAGCCTAGGCTAAATAGTGAGTCAAGGCCAGCCTGAACTACACAGTAAGACCGTCTCAAAAGGTGGGGGGGCAATTAAACTAAGACTTGTCTAGACAACACAGGCTCTAACACTCCCGTACAGACTTCCCACCATCCTGACCTTTAAAATACATTTTTTCCCCTGAGATTACTTGCAAATGAGAGCTTGTCCGTTTCTCTGAAGAAAATATGGCCCAAAAGCACAGGGAATGCTAAAAGAAAGCCACATCCCAACCAGTTAATAAGCAATTAGCTTCTTGATCAAAGCAAGGAAGGTGGGAAGGAGTTCCACGTCCGGATACCTATCGTGGACCCATCTGATACCTGGTCCTAGACAGCGATGACAGGAGGATGCCAAAAGTCTCATTTCATATAAAGTTTGCCTGACAAGAAAAATTTCACCTGTGAATTTTTGGGTGCTTGCCTAACTCTAACTGGGTTTCCAAGAATAATGTGCTCGTTCTGGTTATCAGGCCATGCCTCGCTCAGCAAGGGTGACAAGTCACTGGAATTTGACCCCACGTCTATCTGCACTGACAAAGCGCATTATCACATCCCTGTACAGTCCCAGAATTCCACTTACAGCCAACCCTGGATGAGACGAGGTTTTGTTAGAAGAATCAAGGCTCATACTCCAGAAAAAAAATTAACTGTAATTTCAACTTAAAAGTAAAGGAAGCCTAGAGTACCAATGTTTTGACCCAAGTGTTAAAATTTATTTACACAGGGCCTGGGGGTGAACCTTAAAGGTAAAGCATTTGCCTAAAATGCACAAGGCCCTGGGTTCAATCCTGAACATGACAAAAAAAAAATGAACTACTTCAGTTCTGCTTATTAGCCAACCTTCATTCTCAATTCTGTGCAGACATTCCCTTCCTTTCTTCCCTGCAATTCTATCTTGTCAACAGAAGCACTCAGAAAAGCTCCAGCCTAACATTACACTAGTGAACCGCCCTGCACGCTCCAGCACCCACAGCGCCAGAACTTGCCTGCTTCACCTGCAGACACAGAGCCGAAGAGCTCTGGAAACCACTGCCCAGATCAGGCTGAATGCAATACGAACTCCAGTCTGAAGTCCCAAGATTATACTTAACCAGGGCCTACCTAGTGTCCCAACAAGCCCCCTCCTAAAATCCAGCTGTTCTTTTACACTAGGGAGTGTAGCCGACCCGGCATCCACTCCAGGGAGAAAATCAGGAGCCAGTTTGGCTGTTTTAACCCTCAGCACCACAGCAAGCAAAAAAAGGAAAACGCTTCGTTTATCCGGTGGCTTGCATATTATCGTCTATGCATTGAGTCATTACTCTGTGCTGAGCTTTGCCAGGCATTTAACACTTATTATTTCAGGGAGAAGTCCAGTGTTTCCAACTACAGAAACTGCAGCAGAGAGAAGAGGGCAGCCTGAGGTCCAAACCCAGCCTCACCACTATCCCGATCCCCAGCTCTCATCCATTCGTCTTTCCTACTTCTTACCTTACTGCTCCTCCCAGTGGACCTGCTGGACCCTTCCAGATAAAGCTATAGGTTTGTCCTTGGTCACCCCATTCGTGACCCACACAGGCACAGGCAATGAACCCCAAGATTTATTTTTCCACTTTTATCACCCAAAATTATGTGCTAACAAGGTGAGACTCAATTCTGTAATTAAAACAAAAACAAAGCAACCCATAATTCTGTCCTAGATGACCCTGATGCCTAAGAATAATACCAAGGTAAGCACACAAACAAGATCCCCAAATAACTCAAAGTTCACCATTCCTGAAATTTCTCTCAAAAATCAGAGAACTAAAAATCAATGCTGCCACCTAGTGGCCGGCCCAGGAATTGATCACTGTATTGGAGCGGAACATACCATGGGTCCCACTATCTGGTTTTCCTGGCTAACATCAGGCCACCTACTCCTGACCCTGCTGCAAAAAACACAGCAACATCCCCAAGCAATCCCTCCTGCAGAGTCCCAGTCCAAGTATGAGAATACAGCAACCCCAGCCTGATCTATGACACCGAGTGCTCCACGTGAAAAGCTTCCTCTCCCCAGGTCAGTTTACTCAGTCTTATGGCCAAGTAGGGATGACACCGGAGAACACGGACACATCCAAAATGTTCTTCATTTGTTCACAGCGTGTACACAGTGATTTTGATATCTGTTGCCTCGAATACTTCCTCGATTATTGCAGACACATTTTCCCATTGCAGGCGATCAAGACCACATCCAATCCTAAAAAAGACACAACATCTCCATTGGTTGTGAAGCTACCTAGGAAACTGCTCCTTCCCTCCCCTTCTGGGATGTATCTACCCAAAGCACTCGACAGTAACCTGGTCACGCCTACACGCAGCCGTGTTGAGTCTGCAGGTCAACTCTGGGTGAAGTCGCCCAAGCTCATTCCTAGGTAGCTCTTAACACCCGATGGCTAATAACGCACCATTTTGATTATTTCATGTTCCACTGAGAAACGCCTAATTCTGCCGTGGCGTGGCAGTCACTACCGTTACCTCACCACTGAAGCAAGCTGGAGGTGGGTGGATGGGAAAGACGGCGTTTTTCAGAACACGTTTACAATAATGGAATATTAAGACGAAAAGACGTGGGACGAGGGACAGGATCACTACAAAAACGAGGGCAAGACAGAAAGCTGGGAAACATCGACTTGCTCGCGATCTGCCTAAAGTCAGAAAACTGGTTCACTGGTGATTTTCAAGTCTGGAGATTTGTCTACCTTTAAATCTAAATTTTCAGTTAAGCTTTAAAGTTGTTTGTTTTTTGGTAAAACCCGCCCATCAATTAAGACTTCAGGGAGGCCCCTGGGTTCCCTTGCCTGGGCATGGAAAGGTCGGTGACTCCATTCTTCAGGCAGTGGCACTTCATGGCCTCTAAGCTCTTCTGTAAGTTCTCGTACGTTGGCTTGTGCGAAGCCCTTTTCTTTGTGATCTGAACAGAGAAAGCATTCACATCCTCATTAGCCCAAAATGACAGTCAATGAAAAAACCACCAGATTCTTCCCTAGCCTGACAAGTAAACATACTATTGCAGAGTAATTAATCTGAAAGAGGACAAATGTCACACTGCTCCGTCCATACTGTCATGGGGGTTCCCAGGGAAATCCAATAAACAGGGCCTGAGGAACCCCAATTCTGCCGTGTAGCAACTTAGCCTTTTCCAAGGAACCCACGAGACTGGTAAATTGTGCCTACTCTCAGTAGTTCTTAAGCAAAATAGATGACAGCCTCTGTGTCACTTCCAAGAGCTAAGCTGCATGTGTAGAAAACAGTGAAACACATAACACCTGGAAATATCATTGAAAATCTACTTAAAGTCTGTGCTGGCTTGCTTTTTGTTTCTCTATAAAAAAAAAAAAAAAAACAGAGAAACTGGTAGTTTTAAAAAATGAAATGCTAAAAGTCACATCAGCTTTAAGGGACAGAAGTCATCAGGGCAAGACATTTACCCACTAAGTTTGGTGTCCAGATCAGGCACTCACACACACACAGATGGAAAATCCCACATTCGGGCAGCAGACAGGCAAGCAGCTAGAAGCTACCTGCCACTGCACTGACAGCCCTGGAGAAAAATCTCTCTGGGGAATCTGTCTCTTTTGAGATACTGTTTCTATCTCACTGTGACTAGGTGCGAATTAAAGTACAGGACGCATCCCTAGCTTTCATGAGCCTTAGAGCTCAGGCTGACAGCAGATGGCACAGCTGCCCCCAGTGCTGGGCTGTAGCCTCATGCTCCCTTCTATTCTAGGGCTCCAAGTGGCCAGCACCACTGGACCCAAGCTGCCACAGGATCAGGAGCTTTCTGATGTCCTTAGGTGTCCAGAAAGGAGCACGGTGGTCAACACACATGCAGTGCAGCCGCTCTGTTCACCCACGTGTAGGCTCTGTGCATGATCGGGCTCCACCTTACCAAGTAATATATGTATCTCCCATCTCTCTTCAGGACAGCCACTTCTCCAGGCTTCTTTTCTATGAAAAGCAGTTACGCAGTAGTAGAAAGGAAAAAGAAAACCAGAACACTGTATCGCTATGCTTCAAATTTGTTTAATCTTTATAGATTTTATATCAGAACTAGAAAAAATTTTCAGCTGTAAAGGAGTTTCTGTGAACTTGCAGCTCAGCACCCAGCCCAAATGCGGCACCCCTTGACTTACAGCACCTTTATGATCACGTTTCCCCACACCCCATCTCCACCCTGCTCTGCCCTCAAATACACTCTCATCCACTTAAAAACTACTCACGTCACGTCGATCGATCGCCTGGAAATTATTTTAGAATGGACCATTTTCTAAACTGCCAAACTTGTCCATTCAATAATGATCTCCTTACACATAGGGTTGTGTTAAACATTGCGAAAAACATCGGAAAGTTCTTAATAAAGTTTTAATCCAAAGAAGGGCTCATCTTTACAAATAACCATAATAGAGAGTAATAAGAAATTATTGTTGCCTCAGGCTGGAATCAGAATGACTATTGGATACTCTGATTCAGGAAGCCCAAAATTTGTTTTTTATTTTTTTGTCTTGTTGACACTGGGTCTTGCTATGCAGTTCAGGATGGGCTTAAGCTCACTTTGTAGCCCAGGCTGGTCTCGAACTCAAAACAATCCTCCTGCTTCAGCCTCCCAAGTGCTGGGATTATGCTGGGATTACAGGCGTGCCACCACACCCAGTTTTGGAGACCCAAAATTTCATCTGAGAAATTCTTTCAGAAACTCCCTGCGTGATTCTAACACATAGCTCTGATTTAAAGTGACAGTACTGGTGGGAAATGAAGAAGGGCTGTGTAAGGAAAGGGAGGTTTCTAAACTCCTACTTGAAAAATAAATAAGGGTACAGTAAACAGAACATCTTGAATGTCAAGCAAAAACCGGTGGACTTTGCTAAGAGTCAGTTATTATAAGTTTTAAAGAAGTGGAATAATATCATCAAGAAAGTTTTATGAGAAGGCAGGAAGAGATTAGAAACTTGTACACGATTTCAGATTTGGTATGACAATGGGTCAAAGAGGAAGCCGTTCCTTTGAGCAAAAACTATCTGAAGACTTAAAAGCAGTGTCATCAGGAACGCCCTCTTTGTGTGCACGCCCTAATAATTAAAGTATAACAGATGCTCATAAGATATTCCACCAGGGGTAAAACAGGGAAGCTGTTTCCAAAACTCACGTTGATTTAACAGCTCCTGCACCCCTCCAAATTTCTTCTTGAAGAGGACAGCAATCCCAGCGCCCATGCGACAATCCTCACTGATACAGTGGGCTAGAGAGTCTGTTTTGGGGCATGCAAAAAGATCTCCTTTCACATAAGTGATCTAAAATATGCAAAGGGAAAGAAAATGCTTTATTAGGCACGGAAATGTAGTACGCTATTTCTTTCCCCTCTTTATAGAGTCCCCACCTCTTATTTTTTTTCCACTCCTCCCAAAGGTGGCATTGAAGTCTCCTCCTCAGAACTCAAAGAGTTAACCACAGCGAATTAAAGCATGTGTAAAAGGAACATGATGGATGGTCCCTGCCTGGGATTGTATTAGCTTTTCTTAAGTAAATCAGCTAGGGAGAAACAAAAAAATAGACAATCCAATTATTGGTTTAATTAAAAAAGTGTTTATGTTTTCGACCTCAATTATTCTGGATTTCAGTTCACTGGCAAGTTAATAGTTGCTACGCACTCTGCTTCCTTCTGCATCTTCATTAAGGCTGCTGGCCATGATACTGAGTGGCTACTTTCACAATCTGTGTCTTCTGCTAGGAGAAGGGAAAAGCAGAAACGCTCAGACAGCCTGAACGAATACACAACACTCAGACTGCCCCGACCACCCCCTCAGCAGGTCCTCTTCCCCCAACGTCCATCGCTCGCTGTGACTTCGCGCCGCCTCTAGGGTGCGACCCCAGACTGCTCGGGGCCAGAGGATGCAACGTGACCCGCTCGCTCTCCTTTAGCGCTTTCCCAGACGCGCCTCCTCAACTTAGGAGGGTGTCCTTTCCCCTCCAGGAGGCGAAAGTACGTTCCCAGCGGATCTGGCACACAACGCGGAGGGACTTGGCTACCATCCCGCTCAAACGCAAAAACAGCGTGCGCGGCAGGGGCGCTAGAGCTCCCCGACTCTCCCCACCCTGGCTAGGAGGGTGGGGATCCGGACCAGGGCCCCGAGGAAGGCGATACCGGGGTTACCCTTCACCTGAAAAACAGTCGGCCGCTGGGAGGTTTCCGCCCCGCGAGAAAGGGCTCGGTCCAACCCTGGTAGGTGGGGAACAGGACCAGCCCCGACGCGGAGCCAATCCAGCCACAGCCTCGACGGCACGCACCCAAGATGGCCGCTCCCGCCCCGTAGCGGCGGAAACGAGCCCCTCTAGCTAGCGAGCCGAGCCCGCTCTCTGTGGCCGCTCCGCGGCACTTCCGGCGGGAAACTCCGGGGTCTCCCGCTGCCGCTCGGGCATGCGTCCTGAGAGCCGACCGCGAGCGGGGAAGATCGGCGCTTGCGCATTAGCTCCGGGGGTGTGTCCCCATGTTCGCTTAGAAAGGGGTGGGCAGTTGGCAAAAGGGCGAATTAGCGCCTGCGTTGTACTACGTTCAAAGATGTTTGAGTTGAAGGCTCTGGCACGACTTGAAGGCGCCTGCGTAGTCCACCTGCCGGAGGTGGCGTCAATCCAGGAAATAGGCGTGGCTTACAAGAGGGGCCTGCGCATTGCTCCTCGGGGCGGGGGCGGGGCGAGTCCGGCTGAGGTTATGGGGTGTGGTCTCCGAGGCGCCTGCGCGGAGGCGGTTGGAGGGAGGCCGGATTCCCCTTTGTTCGGGTTCGCCATTTTGCGAGGCAGCGGCAGTGGCGGCGGCGGCGGCGGCTGGAGCCTCTGATTGGGTTTCGGAGTCCGGTACTGGAGCCAATCAGCGCGGGCAGCGAACCGGGGGAGCGAGGCACGGTGAGTATGAGGAGCCAATATCCAGCGGCCCAGAGCCGGCCCCAGCGCCCCGATTGGCGGGTCTCGCTGACCACTCAGGAGAGGCCCAGGCGCCCGTCGGGCCCCGGGAGCCGAGCGGGCCCTCGCTGCGGCGGGCCCGCTCGGCTCG